TGAAGCCACCCCTTTTTTCCGTGCGGCAATCGCCCTTCGGATACCCCCACCGGACAACCGATGGGCTGATTATGGATTTTATTTCTGATGAAGTTCTTTTTATCCTTATTTCAATGAGTTCAAATCAAAATCATTATTTATTTTATTTATTTATACGGTTTCATTCTACGGAGTATCATACCACCGCAACCCGATATAATAAATATTTTCATTATATCATAATAGTAACATAGACATGCAAATCATCCGAATTTTTCGTTTTAGTTTCGAATGTTCCGTACCCGGCGGCCATTTTTTTTATATTGACCTGATAGAAAATCCCTTTGGATCTCCGGCTCCTCGGGGACGCAGGAGTCATGAATATGTGATGTTTCCACTAAAACCACCCCGACAGCCGGTCTCAAGCGATACCGGACCACCCTGGGTACCGCGGTACCTACCTTACTTTATTTTTCTACTAGTTAATTCTATTCAAATTATCCAGTTGTACAGCTTGCAAAATCTATTGGTTATAATATGTTATAATTGTTTAATATACAGGACCTACAGTATATGTATATATACTGTAGGTCGGTCGGTAGGTAGGTTGTTATTCCTACTGTATAGTAGGAATAACAACTAAAATGAATTACAAGGATCTCGTCTTTAGCAGGTTTGGGGGCTCGAGCTTGAATCGAAGAGTTACTTACGATCAATAGGCAGGTCGGCTCGATTGTCTAATATGTATGTCCTGATAAAAAAATCCCCATGAAAAGGTGCCTGCATTCGTACCCTTTTTTTAGCTGTTCATATTATTGTCAAACGCTTAGCATTCATTGGTCTGGTCACATCATAATATCAAGGAGCGATCAATTTCAAGATCCGGGCGGTATTATTTCGCTTCGTATTTTCGTTTGTCGGTTTTTTTTTATTTCATATAAAAATTATCTTTTTAGTTACTAAGGTTCAACATTCTGCAACATTGGTGTAGCTCAATTCAAAGTTTATAATACTTTCGAAATTCTAACAGACCACAAGTAAAAAATCTCTACTTTACAGAAGATCGAAATAACTGCTTTACTGATGTAAGACGTGGTCATATTTGAATACGTCTATGCATTCCGTCTCAGGTTATGTACCTACTTACAAAATTACTCATAAAAATTGCATAAAAAAATCAGTACAGAATCTAGTTGTTTTAGTAGTACCTTTTTTTTAATTATTTTACACTTCCTGCATTACATTTTGCACGAGGCGAACAATACCACATGGCATTTTTTTGTTGACGGTGTGGAAAATCCCTTCGGCCCTCCTGCTCCTTAGGGACTCAGGGAGACAGGAATATTTGGTGATTCCACTATCTTCATGCGAATCATTAAAAACCACCCTGACGACTAACCTCGTGTGCCCTATTTTGGGAGGACCCGGACCATGTGATTTGAAGTCCTCCCCGAATTGACACCACGCCTAATAAGGGCCTATGCCCAGGGGAAAAGATTTCCCACCCTTAATCGCGGCTTGGCAGCCCGATTGCGTCTTAATGTGATCAGGCCACCATCCTATCCTCTTCCGTAGCAATGGTTCTGCCACCACTATTCTCTGGCGCCCCGCGCCCCGTCAATGGTTAGTTTTGCCGCCGACGTCCTCTACGCTTGAGTTGATTCCATTCAGCGGCTCTTTCTGGGGCATTACAGCTTCAAAGAAAGAGATCACAGTCTATTCCCACCGCTGAAAGTGGATACATCATATAACTTTTATTCATTCTATTACCTAATCTTGCAAATCATCAGCATCATGGGCTCCCCTACTATAGGCTATTACACTAAAGAATGAGTTAATGATTGTCGAAGATATTTAGGTATACCAATTATCAAAACAGTTCTCTATTCATCTTAGAATTATAACCTTCCTAGTAAGTAATGTGGTTGCGATTCATGTGGGGGGCATTTGCCATAGTCACCACGCTTGGCAGACGGGTTGGTGACCGAATCATTTATCTGGTAGCGCAGCTGCCCGTCATCAGTATCGATATTTAGTGATTCTTGCAGTGGTGTGGTTATACTGCTACGAGTCAGTCGCCAGAGCCTCATCACGAGGTTAACGTTATGAGACCTAAGACGGTAGGTAGCTCCGCGTTACACAAGAACAGAACACAAGACCAATTCAATTGCATCGCGGGGTTAGACAAGGAGACGTTATTTCGCCGAAACTGTTTACCAATGCAGTGGAAGACATCTTCAAGACGCTCGATTGGAACAGACGGGGAATCAATTTGCAGACGACATAGTGATCCTGGCGGAATCTCTGCATGATCTGGAAGAAATGCTTACGCTGCTGCTTGGACGATTCTTCAAGACGTCTGACTGGGACAGGCATCTATCCCCGATTTTCGTGGCCGTGAATGGTGATACTATCAAGGTTGGGCAAGAATACGTCTATCTTGGCCAAATTATCCAACTCGGCCGTCACAACTTCGATCGAGAGGCCGATGGAAGAATTCAACTGGGCTGGGCGGCATTTGGGAAGGCGTTTAACCAGTGCATACGGCGTTAACCCGTAATGAAATACGTAGCCGAGACGTCGACACTCACCGTTGGACTGTTCCACAAGTTTAAAGTCGCTCAGCGGGCGATAGATGGTGTTTTGGTGTTTCTCTAGTTGACAAAATTCGAAATGAAACGATTCGACAGAGAACTGAAGTAACCGACATCGCACAGAGAATCAGCACACTGAAGTGGAAGTAGGCCAGTTATGTCTCTAGGCGGACTGATGGTCGCTGGAGCCGGAGCATGTGTTAGAGTGGAGTAGGGCGCCCTGCGGCACGATGGACCGACGACTTGAAGAAAATGGCTGGCAGCGGATGGATGCGGACTGCCCAATAATAGCACTGGCACTCTTTGGGGGAGGCTTTCGTTCAGTAGTGCAACAGCAATAGGCTGAAGATATAGTTAGTAACTCTTAGGAGACTTACTTAGGTAAGTCGCACCTACTTACACGCAAAATTCCAAAATATAGTGCTTCCAAACGTGCTAAATCTTAAATAACTTATATTAAATATAGACGAATGTTACTTACCTAACTTCGTTTAAGTATCCCAGCTTATGCGAATTTTTTGAGACCGTAGACACAAATTAAAGCATCCAACACAGTTTAAAGGGGTGCGCATTTTTTCACATAACTTATTAAGTCTCATTATCGGAAGTCCGAAAATATTTCTCATATCATTTTACGTCACAATGATCACTCTTCACAAAAATATTTAATCATACACCTGGTTTATACTAATATTTGTTTTCATATATTTTCTTACAAGTACTAACGATCGAAACTCCTCATCATTCTAATGCATAACGGCAATATTCATAAATTTGTTTTATACTTAATAATAATTTTTTTCATTGTTATTGATCCGTTATTTAAACTAGCAAGTTATTTAAAGCGTTATCCTTCAGATTGTTTTTTTTTAGAGTCGACGGGTCACTTGATGGAAAGTGATTACTGCCGCCCATGAACGGCCGCAACTCAGGAGCCACAAGCGCGTTTCTCAGCCTGTTAAGAAGGAGCAAGCTCTTTTCTTCGAGGTTGCAAACCTTATCGTCGTAACGTCGTATCGGTCCGGAAATACCGCATTGTTTATAATGTAAAACGTAATGTAATGTAAAAACAGGTCAAGAATACTGATATACGAGGTTTAAAAGTTTGTGTGAAATGATAGGTACGGCAACGAGCGAAGCGAGGAGGAATGTTATGCTGGATTACATGCGTGCCGAGGCTTGGCATACGTCCACAAGCTGCAGTCTTTATAAACGCTTTTTGCCATTTACACTACCCTTTCTAGCCCTACTGCTCAATTAAAATGCTCAATCAGTAGAGCATTGGCACTTAATGTTGATTCCCAACTGCTGAACTACAATACTTGTAATATCAAATTGAGCAGTTGGCAATAAGCACGCGCCAACATGTTAATACGTCACAAACGCTTGCCGCGAGCTTCCTTTGATCTGTGTTAGAAAACCGACACTAGTACCGATCGACGACGAGCATACGCAAGCCAAGCCCAACACCCCGCTTACACGCTTGTGTTTGTGGACACTTGTCGAGGACGCTATGCATGTAAACGGCCTATTAGGTTAGAACTGCAACCCTACAGCCTCCAGAACCGAAGATATTTTTAACTAATACTTACATGTAGTAGACGACGAGCGAAGAATCACCTTTTATTTCTAAGTCCCTGCGTCTTTGTAATTAACTAATATTTGGACTCTTCTATCTCTGTAATTATTGATCTGAGAGAAAAAGTTTGCACGATTGCCCTTCTAACAGAAATAAACTGTTGATAATTATAACCGCTCAATTACAACAAGAAAGAAATAGATATCATCATACATGCTTAGTTGTTATTCTTGAGTTGCATGTATATTTTTCACTAAATAATAAACGAAATAGGTAGATAAATCTTATTTTGAATAGTTACCGTTATGAAAAACAATATTTTGAGTTCAAATATTTGCCTTGTAATGACAGTATTAAAAAAATATATGATACCTGTCTGTTATGAGTTCCGTTGGTACCTACTAGTAAAAATTTATGAACAAAAAGAGTATGAAATAAAATCATGAAGAGTGATTATTATGAACACAAATCAGTATTAAAAGAAAAAATAGGAATAAGATTTTTATGTGAACCAATATGGACCCCAATTTAAAGATATAGGTACTTTTTAGAACCTTTTTAGCTAAAAGATTTCTGCATAACTTTTACTATGAGCTTTTATTTCAGGTTTTTTTAATGATTGGAGCGTATTATTTCTTAGTACAAGTCGTCTCGATTGGTGACACCTTCCTTAAGGCGTGAAAGAGGTTGACGGACACGTTGTCACGTCTGCTGCCATAAAGAAGAGTGGTACGCTGTAGACGCATAGTCTTGCCAAACTCTAGTCAAAATTATAGTTTTCAGGAGTGCAATGTATGAGACTTATCATCGTTTGCAGTGATTGCTCAGTTCACGGTTTTCAATATTGTTTATTTCTTTGCGTCATAATGCTTCATATATGATAAAAATATATAATATATCATTGTTGTTACGTTTATGTACAACACTCTGTAAGATATTGGTAGGAAATAAAAGTTAATAAATTGTATTGGTGGCCAGTACATGCAGTCTATCTGAAACAATGTCAAATGATTTCTTTATTGTTACAAGTGTTATCCGTGTGGTGACGGATAAAGAATACTGAATACCGTTGGTGTCGTAAGAGCCGACTAAAGGAGCAAATGACGACAACTGCAATAAGAAAGAAAACTTGACACAAACACCTACTGTACCAACCCGTCTGGCCAGCGTGGTATAGTAGGCCAAAACCTCTTTTCTAAGGAGAGGCCTATGTCCAGCAGTGGATTATTAAAGGCTGTTGATGTGATGATGTGATTATTATAAGATCACGAAATGCAAAAATTCTAATAATAATAAAATATCTGACACACAAACGTCTGATCCCAAACAAGATAGAGCCTTTACTATAGTACCCAGACTGCTGATAAACATACAAATATACTTCCAAATACGTACATATTATAAATAAATTACGCACAAAAACAGAACAAATGATCGTGATCACAAATTCACAAATTTTTCGTTCACAAATTGTTTGTACTTGGTGAGAATCGAACCCACGACCTCACTAACCTCTAGACTAACAGGCCCTTGGAATTGGAGAGGATGTGGAATTTGTAGATACAAAACCAAGTTCATATTGCGTTCAGGTTGTCAGTCAATCATACAATAATTCTTATACTTACGCTAAATAATTCACATACAATAATTCTTAAACTACCTAAGTTTTGTGGAAAAAAATATTGACAGTAAGTACTACTTCTCGTATTTTCAGTGCTCTCTTTGGCATCAAGACACGGCGAAAATACCAAACCCTTGGACATGATTATTGATTTAAGTAAAATAAAGAAATTACATATTAAATCTGAACTTATGTTTTCTGCCTTATTACCAGGTCATCAGTTCATATAGTAAGAGCTTTAGATACTTCATCCTAACCTGTATGTTGATCCAAAATCTTAAAAACATCTTTAACAAAATATAACAAAAGATATTATCTGAGTGTTCTAAGTCAATACCAATACTCGTACTTATATATTTTTCAATTATTTGCAACCATCCTCAAACTTGTGTGGACGTACGGCATACAACTATACGGAACAGCCTCACACTCCAACATAGAGATCATACAACGTTTTCAAAACAAAATGCTACGCATTTACTGGTGCCTAAGGTTTGTGACTAACGAACAACTGCACAACGATCTGAAAACGCCTACAATCAAGGAGGAAATAACTAGACACACTAAGGCATACAGGGACAGAATATTAAATGACATTCATTTAATTTATCATTTATCACATTAAACTAGAATGAGGTACAGCACTGGCCGCAACCCTGCACACGACCGCGACCTACAAATTATGCCCAATCTATCGCTTAATGTCCTGATAAAGAGACAGATTGCTGTAGTAAACATGAACAAAAAAAAATGTCTTTCTATCTGTTTTTACAAAAGCGGATTTAAGATCAATTGCATTCCTTATCAGTCAGCCTAATGAGACGGTGGTGAGATGCGTATATAATATACTTAACGTGTGAAAGTTTTTGAACGATCCTTTCTTTGATTACTCTTGCGAAGCCTGTGCCTATTGTCACAGCACCTGGCTTTATTTTTTAAATTGTGAGACCGATTTTATATCTATACACAGATGTGAAAAATCTATCTACGTGCGTGTCGTATTATACACGATCACATAACATTATATTTTAGCAATACACATAATATGACGTTAACGTATGCTGCGTATAATACGCGGAAGCTAAGCATATGTTTTAGCAAAAGCCTCATTTTATACCAAATTCTTTCGCGACTTATCAGCGCTTACGCTTATAAAACTTAAAACTGAGCGCTTAAACTTTTGTGGTAGATACCCTCTTCCCCGGGGACCGGGTACCAGTCCCTCACGCCCTCCGTCACCGTCGCAACCAGCTACGCTGGAACACGTGAAGGTTCAAAAGTGTCACTCACATATTTTGTATCCCACGCGAGTTTTAATCGTTTTTAGGGTTCCGTAGCCAAAATGGCAAAAACATGTCCGTCCGTCTGCCTGTCCACAATATATCTCACAGACTGTTAGTGCTAGAAACCTGTAATTTCTCATAAACATACATACTAATCACGCCGACAAAGTGGTAAAATGAAATTTAAAATAATATATTTTTTAGGGAACCCTGGTACCTGTAAAGTGGGGTTGTTATTTTTTGTATTCATCCATCCCATAATGTGGGGTGTCGTTTAGATAGGTATCTTAATAATAAAATCGGTTTATGAAGACAATATTTTGATTAAAGTTTCCGTTTGTGAGATATTAAGCCTTAAAGCGCTGATTTTTCATGTACAGTCAAGTGGACCCAAACCCCACCCCTCCCCTCCTAACCTAACCACAGTATTATGAAATCTTGAAAAAAATGTACCTTATATGTACATGTGTAGTTTAGAAGTAATAGTCGACGAACTAATTCGACATTATAGGCCGCCGTAACCGTTAATGTGAAATGTTGATGACATGAAATAACAAAAGGCCCTTGTCCTTTTTATATTTTACTTAGTTACGTATTAAGTTCGCATTATTGTGATAGGTAACTGCGGCAAAATACATTGGGCGTGGATCGACACGGACTTGGTACTAGGGATTTTTCAAAATAGTTTAGACGCAGCTTTAGTTTTACAAAACGCATAAAACGCTGATCAAAAGAGCACGATAAGAATTGACAATGTTGTAAGTAAGTAGCAACATAGTAATTTGTATAGTTAAGTACTGTTAAAAAGAGAGAGTTGATTGAAATAACTTACTGTAAAGGTCTTCAAAAATTTTTTGTTCAGTTCTGCTTTACATGCTTCAAAGGGTTTACCATCCAAATAATCCACGCCACAGTAGAAACCAAATAAGGCAATTGGTGAAACAAGTGCCTGATCAAGTAATATTTTGATTGCTGTTGTTTTCATAGTCACTTTTGGTATGCATCTTTCTAAGGTCGTATAGTAAAAATGATAAAAAGAGCCCAGTAGTATCCCGACAATGAACATGTGACCTTAAACAAATATTCCACAGAGTAAAAGGCATCATGTAGAAACTACTACTACTAATACATGTAGACATAAGTTCGTAAGTATTAAAACAAAATAATCTACTCAATGGATGAAACAGCACCTAATAATCTTATATCCGGTAGGTAATATTGATTCAATAGATATTGATCGAATGATGTCAATCCTCACTTTTAATTCATTTGAACATCTCTGAGAGCATTACTTTGTCAACCGTATGATAGAACGTTTATTTCGGACTGGGACTCACATCATAAGTTCATCTCCAGTATCAGACCTTTACCCGTCACTCACTTTTGCAGCAAATAGTCTAAAAGCGGTTTCACACTACGTCCGACCCGAATTCGATACGAATTAGAAATTTGAATTCGAATATTGCTTTTCGCACTACATCGAGATTTCTGATCCGTGATTACGGATTCAAAGACTGACTGACTGAATTGGTATTTTGTTTACGCACTATTGCGATCTTTAATTCTACGTATGAGATGGCGGAGCGGGACAAGGAGAGGTTTAGAACTCTCGCGGCTCGCCAGACTCGGGCACGGGCCAGGTACCGCAGACGACTCAGTCGCAGAGTCGCAGAACGACCTCCACCCTCCATAAGCGCAGGCCTGGATATGACAGGTGAGGCCATCTGTCACAATAGCAGAAGCAGCCGGGGTGGTGGCGAGACGCGCAGTGGAGCGAGCGCGCGCGCACTCGGGAGCACAAAGGGAACATGGGTGGAAACCACAGGAAGGGGTCTCCTACCAGCCATAGATGGCACAAGGTACGTCGGGGTACCAGGGATTTCCTTTCTAGGGTACACCTAGGGTTCCCCGGCTACTGGTACCGTAGACGGCGTGCGGTTTTTAGTCGGTTCGAGTCCGACATAGCCACCGGTGGTATCCGAGGGGCTTTCAGCACAGAAAAAAAAGGGGTACCAAACCGACGTAAAGAAACTGATTGAGCGTTTTTAAGGCAAAACACTGTAAAGTTGATAATTTTAACTTTAACACATCATAATAAGAATTCCTTCACACATATCAATGAAATGTTTCTTACATATACGAGTAGTGACATCTCTTAATCAAACCTGAAATTACTTTTCTTGTGATTGGCTGTAATACATAATGTAATACATTGTTAGTTTGTTTACAATAGTATGAACTCGCGTGAACTTCGCTGTTCAATGTTTGTGTTAACGAATTTATTAAGGACCTAACTTCTATCCACCGGTGTCACTCAAAATTGAAGCTCTATAAGTGATAAGTATTGGTATTAATCTACATGGGAATGTATATATATTTTAATTGTTTTGTTTTCTAACAGATTTTAAAATAATTAAATGAAATATAAGGGTATCAAATACTAGGACAAAAATCATCTGATATCCAGTAATTGATACAGCTATCATATACTGGGTGAATTCTCATTTTCTATCTCTCATGCGATTTTTTATAGTATTACAACACCATAAAGTTGAACTAAAGATTATGTTGAATTTAGCATTTCTAGGTGACTTCTACCTATACCTATAGTCGTTGATAGGGGTTATCAATTAATTGTACATTAAAATATCAAATACTGGTACAAAAGTATCGATTTCTTTTTTTGTGCAGGTACTTAACCTACACAAATAAAAGAAATCGGTACATCGATTAAATTGACAAAATTGGTTTAAAATGCCTCCAATAAAGGGAAAAATGTTCAGTTATTCTGAAGATTTATATAATGACGTAAAATCTGGGACTTCAATATCCGCTGTGTCTAAAAAATATAATATTCCATATAGCAGCCTTTCACATAAAGTGCATGGGAAAACACCTTGAATGCCGTATGGGTCCAGGGTCATATGGGGATATTGGTATTGGTATTGGTTGTGGGCTTCGGTTTCCGCATTTAGACTCAGAGTGGTCCTTTATGCGTCGAGGATTGGTTGACTAGGTGAGTCAACCAAGCTCCTTCCAGAAGCGCAGAAGCCTCCTGGGGCGTTCACAGGCTTCTAGGAGCGACTTTATATCAGGAATGATACTTGCCCGTTGTGTGGCCACTCCCTCGCATTCCAGGACTACGTGGGCGGCCGTTTCTTCAGCTTCCAGACATCCCCTGCACAGGGGACTGTCCGTTGCATTGATTATGAATAGTTGTCGGTTCAGGGCTAGATGTCCTGTAATAGTTCCGACAACCATTCTGAGTTCCGGTCTGCTAAGACTGATCAGTCTGCAGGTGAGTCGTGGTGTGACTTGATTCAGCACCAGTTTGGACTGTCTGCAGCCGGGTGAGTTTTTCCACCTCCGGTTGTGTGCTTCACAGGTCCGTTGCCTGACCCAGCATCGTATTTGGTTAAACGATATGGGCAGGAGTGGAGTTGGGCCAGAGGTTGGGGTTGCCAAGCCCCTCCTTGCCAACTCATCTGCAGCATCGTTCCCGTGTGAGTTACTGTGCCCTTTAATCCATTGGAGGAGTACCCCGGTCATATGGGGGTTTTATGGATATTAGAGGTGGCTAAAGCTGGATTTCCCGTAACTGTGCAGCAGTTACAAGATGGTGTAGCTAGTGTCTGAATTAAACACTCCTTTTAAAAATAACAGACCTGAGAGACACTGGAACGAATCATTTCAAAGAAGGCACCCGGAGATTAGTCTAAGAACATCCCAAAATTTAACTGAACCTAGATCTGCTGTTACAAGTGAAGCAATAAGCAAATGGTTTGCGGAAATAGACGAGATTCTTTTTAAGAACATAATTTAGAAGCTGTCATCCGAAGCCCAAACAGGGTATTTAATTATGATAAAACCGCTTCTGCCTTAATCCTAAAGGTAATAAAGTACTTGCAGCAAGAGGCAATAAAACAGTTTACCAGAAAGTAAGTGCTGATGAAAAAGAGTATCTGACTGTTCTTCTGTCCGGAAATGCAGCGGGTGATCTGCCACCTCCCATGATTGTATATCAGTATGCGAGAATCCCTAGAGATTTGCGTGCCAAAAAACTGGGGTATTGGACGTTCAGAGAGTGCGTGGATGGCGGCGAAACGTTTTTCAAGTTCATTGCAAATATTTTCAATTCAACAATTTCATTGCAAAATATCAAAAAGCCCGTTTTATTGTTCATTAAAGGACATACTTCTCATTTGACGCTGGAAACCAGCAAGTTTTGTTCTGAAAATGGCATTGTACCCTAATGACACGCATTTAAGTCGCGTAAAGATGGCATAATAATGGTGTTGCTCTTTGAGACAGAGCCACACAAAGCAAAAAAAGCAACGATTAAGACTTATTGTAAATATTTAAATTAGAACACTAAGACAAGCTAGGTACGAGTATTGTTGCACAATTTTCAGTCTTGCCCCCATCCGCTCAGAGCGTGTGTAACGCGCGTTAAGGAACTTCGTTCCAAAAAAGGGGTAACCTTTTAGCATATAGCATTTTACAAAACAGAGCGTTTACATCGTTGAACACAAGTCCTTTTGATCAGCGTCACCAACTTCTGGCCATGCAGGAGTTTAAGTTCCGTTTTTTCAAAATGTACATACGAACGACACAGAACGAGTAAATAATTCCTGAGTGCTTTCATACAAATAATAGTAATTGCTACTTTGGTGTCGGAAGTCGTATGAAAACTACCATAAAAATAGTTCTACGACTACTTTAGACCGTATTTTCACGTGTTCGGATCGGATTTCAGACGTAGTGCGAAACCGCTCTAAGATCTCAATACTCAGATTAGGTATAACATCATCATCATCATCATCAACAGCCTTTAATAGTCCACTGCTGGACATAAGCCTCTCAGAAAGGAGGTTTTGGCCTACTATACCACGCTGGCCAGACGGGTTGGTATCGGGTTTGTGTCAAGTTTTCCTTCTCTCTGCAGTGCTGTTGTCCTGCGTAGTTTTTTCCCTTAGTCGGCTCTTACGACACCCACGGGATGAATAGGGGTGGTGACACTCTGTATTCTTAATCCGTCACCACACGGACGAAAAATGCTCCGCCTAAATAATGCCCTTGATTACTAACAACCTACGAGTAAACTTCGACTGAATCGTGAAGCATATAATTCTTTCATCGATGTGATTATCTATGTACTTATGTCTATAAAGTTTATTATACTCACAAAGTGTACGGTATTTTCGGACACATTCTATTAGACTTTTCATTTAGGTATGTCAAAGTCTCTTGAGATAAAATGAACATACGAGGGACGGCTAATAAGTCCGCGGCCATCTCACATATAATGCCTTTAACCCACCCAAAAAATATTCTGTATCTTTCTCTTCAAAATGACGATCAACTGCAGCTTCATTTCGTTCTCATCTGTAAATGTCCGTAAGTCCTTTTTCAAATTGGAAAACAGGAATATGGAGGGTGCTCAATCTCTGAGAACCCCGTGTCTTTCAGGGCTTGCCTCGCAACATGTGCGGTGTGAACGGACGCGTCGTCTTGCAGAAAGAGCACTCCGCGCGTCAGAGTCCCACGTCGTTTCTGTACAATAGCCTCGCTAACCTGAGTCAATAAATTGGCGTAATATTCGCCATTTATCGTAGTTCCTATGGGTAGGTAATCGTTAAGCGAAATTCCCTTGCTATCCCAGAAAACAGTCGCCATTAGCTTGGACGCCGACTTTGCCACCATGAATTTCTTCGGCGGTCTTTCTCCTTTTTTTATCCATTGTATGGACTCCGGATCATATTGGCGATTCCATGTTCAATCTACGGTGACTATCCATTGCCAAATATCTTCCTTGTTATCACCGACTAGCTCCAAAAAATCATTACAACTTGCGAGTCGACGTTGTTTGTGGAGCGGTGTGAGCATTTTCGGTACCCAGCGAGCGCTATTTTGTTCATATTCAAATATTCATGTAAAATTTCTCCAACTTGTTCTTTGTTAATCTGCAATTCGTCAGCAATCTGCCACATTTTAATTCTTCGGTCGACCAGAAAGATTTTTTTACTTTTTGGACGTTTTCTCCGTGACAGGGCGGTCCGGGCGAGAGTCGTCTTCACAGCTCTCTCATCCTTGTTGAAATAGGTGGGCCCATTTTTCACCATCGTATATGAAGGCACAGAAACCTGAAGAACCGATGAAATCTCTTCAAAAATGTCTTTCGGTGTATTTCCCTTCTTTAAGAGCAATTTTATCACGGCGCGGTTTTCAAAATGCCGAGATTTTTCAGATTCGGCTGATATGGTGATGTTTGTTATTCGATAAATAATTCTACTATGAGTGCAAATTTAATTAGTGTTTGCTTTTATAATACTACTGAGTGTCGAAACTAGTGACATGAGTAACAAGCTAATTATTCATCTTTAAGTACCGTTAAGTACCGTACCGTTTTCAGCCGCCCCTCGTAGTTATTCAATATATCAATATGTCATGAAAATAGCTTTGATTAGTTACCTGCTCGTGTCCAGTCATATCGTTTTGGTATTTTATTTGAACGGAACTCAAACTCCTGCTCCACTAAATCTCCCAACGTCATACATCCTCCTGATGTCAAACTATTTGTAAATAACAAGAATTTGTTTAAGAATTTTCGTAAACGTCCATGATTTCTTGAACAATTCCTTTTAAAGTTGATTACCCGTGGCAGCGTCGATTTCATGCATTGAAGAGTGAACATCGAAATAATGATGTTGCAATAGTCGTTGCTTTTGGCAAAAAGACAATAATTTATCTATCACTTTTAATATTTACTAAAATCATTTTAAAAATGTGCTTTGTATTAAATTCCAATCTCAATTGAACTTTATAATTTCTATTTGTAATACCTACTTCAACTGTAAAATATTGTTACATACTTCAACTACAATTTACAATACAATGGCTCTCGTCTTTGTTTATGCACAGATTTATAATAATTTATTACATATTTTAGAATATAATAACTGGACTGTATCAAATCTATGGTTCCATAGCAACTTGTAATGAATGTGACAGCAATACACAGTATCTTCGTAGAAGCTAGGTGGAATTGTAAAAAAAAACAATTTATTAAAAATTGCAAAATAATAAATCGTATTTCTTCAACGGCGACTTAATATGTAGAATTAAATACCGAGTACACTCGAATTCCTTTTAAAGTATTAGGTATTTAATTTGAGTTTCGATGCAGAGGATCTCTTTTCCACAATGCTGCTAACAATTAATCTATTATCTACCAGATAAGCATGGCAAATAGGGAAATCAACATTCGTAGAGTGCTAGTATACCACCAGGGAAATTTAATTAAATGACCTTGACAATTATTCGTGTGGGCATGTTCTTCATTAGATTCAATAATTATTTTAGTGGGTAGGTTTTTAGTTTTTCAACCTTAAGGCTGAGCAGCATTTTCAAACTAATCAACCATTAGATACGTACGATATTTTATGGATAGGATGCGTGCCGTCATATTTGCTTGTAGGTTGTTGTTGTTGTGTGTTTTTATAGATATTTTCAAGGGAATTAACGCACTTAAGTAGGTACATGGCCTTTAAATTGCTTGACGTTTCAACCAAGCAACGGTACTACTCATGTGCCTTTTTTTTTTTTTTTTACGTGTGGAAATCCCCTCGGACCGTCACCCCGCCGGGGCTCTCGTTCGGCGGGGCGGTGTGTCGGACTCGAACCGACTAAAACCACACGGTGTGCCCTCTTTGCGCTTCCAGTTTAGGAGGGGTCCAGGTAGCTATCTCCTTCTGGACCCCACCCAGCGCCGGCCCGCTCCTGACGCGGGCTCCGTCTCAGTGGACCCTCTCTTTAGGCGGCGTCCGGCACACGCGGACGCCGCCCCCCTCGCGGCTGGCCAACTAATGCGGGTGGAGGGGAGAACCCATCCCGTCCACCCGCGGCCACACTCAGGGCGGCATGAGGCGCAGGTGAGCGCGCCTCCGCCGCCCGGTTCGCCGGCGGCGGATCAGGTCCGAGTGGAGGTCGTCCTCCCGGGCCTTCTCCGCCGCCTCCTTCTGCGAGATTACCTCCTCGCAGAAGGTTGCGACCGCGGTAAAACAACTGTCGCTACCGGCCATGGAGCGAATTACGGCCGGTAGCGAGAGATCTGCTCCGATGACTGCAGTGAGGGCCCGGCGCTGCGTCGCCCATGCGGGGCAAACCGCCAGCGTGTGCTGGGCCGAATCCTCACTGCAGTCGCAGTGGTGGCAGGCGGGACTCGATTCCCTCCTAGCGACCGAGTACAGGTACTTTCCGAAGCAACCGTGCCCGGAAAGCACCTGCGTCAGCCGGAAGGAAAGGGTCCCGTGCTGCCGCCCTGCCCACTCGGCGATGACCGGCTGGAGAACCTCCACGGCGGCGAAGCCAGCGCGTGGAGTCTCCAGCCGGAACGACCATCTCACCATAGTGGCTCGGCGAGCGGCTTCGCGCCACTCGCGCACGTCCTCGGGCGGAGCGCGAAATCCGCTCTCCGCCCGGAAGTCAGCCACTCGCCGATAAACTTCGGCGAGCACTTCCGCCTCCAAATCCCACGGGGGTGTTCCGGCCAAGGCGCAAGCCGCCTCGGTGGACACCTTGCGGTATCCGCGTATGGCTCTGACCGCCAATATCCTCTGGGGGCGCCAGAGGCGCGCCCTATTCGGGGCGGTCAGAGCCGCCACCCACACCGGTGCACCATAAAGCGCCATGGACCGGACAACCCCCGCGTACAGCCGCCTCGTGGGAACACTGGCCCCGCCCAAATTGGGCAAAAGTCGCCCTAGGGCGGAGGCAGTGTCCACCAGCTTCGGACCAAGCTGTCGGAAGTGCTCGTCGAAGAGCCACCTACCGTCTAGGACCAGACCCAGGTACCTCATCTGGGCCCGGACCGGTACGAGGACCGAGCCGACCTCGATTGAGGCGCCGGCGGGCGGACCACGACGGGGCCCGTGAAATAATAGGGCCTCCGTCTTATCCAGGGCCACCCGCAAACCCAACGCCTCAATGCGCCCAACCACCAGGGAAACTCCCGTGGCGGCCAGGCGCGCAGCCTCCTGGAAGTTAGCCCCCCGGGCCGTGACTAAAGTGTCATCGGCGTAGCAGAGTACACCCAGCCCGGGGGGGAGACGCCCTCGTAGGGCCCAGTCGTATCCGATGCTCCACAGGAGTGGTCCTAGGACAGACCCCTGCGGAACACCGCACGACATGGCCCTGCGTCTCAAGACGCCATCTCGGTCCTCGTACATGACGGTTCGCTCCTCAAGATAGTCTGCCACCAGCCGCCTCAGGTACTCCGGCACTCCGTGGTAGCGGAGCGCTTCCCTGATGCAGCTGAGTGGCAGACTATTTTTTTTTTTTTTTTTCAAAAACTTTAATCACACTAAGATTTACATTTGTTTACATTTTCTCGATTCGCCAAACTGTTCTAACAGTTTGTAGGCGTTCCGCTCAATTTATAATAACCTAAGTACTTAAATGCTAGTTTATAAATTCCTCCTACAACGGTGTACTAACTCAACAAACAAAATAATTTCAAGACAAACAATACATAAATATGTGTACCCTGACTATTTCCTGGGCACCTGCTTCCCTATTTATGTACGCGTTTTAATCTATTGCCATATCCAAACATTTCTTTTAGTCTTAGTTTTAGTTTAAACTTACATTTTATTTTCTTTTCCTCCCTTAGTATTTGATATTTATTACATAACTTTGGTACTACATACTTCCTGGTCCTTTCCCCATAATAATTATTTACTTTTAATTGCTCTAATTTTCCCTTCTTTATTACTCTGACACTGTAATGATATTTTTTCTTTATCTTATACTCTTCACTATGATATGATTCTAATGCTATTAAATATTTAACTTTTTCATTGACTGGTATGATGGCACATTCGGAAAATAACTTATTATAGTCATCTTTGTGCTTTTTCCTAATTCTTTTATCTACTATTATTTTTAAAAATCTTAACTGTATCTTTTTAATTTCCTCTATATACGTTTTAAATGTTAGTCCGTAACAGCTTATCCCATAACTAATAATTGAATCCGCTAGTGCATAGTACACCATAAACAAAGTACGTCTGTCTAATATTCTTTTGAGGATGTAAAACTTACTTAGAACTGACCTTAATCTATTACATACCAATTCTATGTGTGGTCTCCAGCTAAATCTATTATCTATTATCAACCCCAAGTACTTAATGGTGGTAACTAACTCCAATTCCTTACACTGACAGCTCTGGTTTTTATGTAAACAGTCATATGTGTGTCCTATGATACGTATATTAGCCCCTCCTCTCGTGACTCTATTGTAAGGTGAACATATATGCATGATTTTAGTTTTATTGGTGTTAAGTATAATCCCATTATCATGAGCCCATTTTGTTATTCTATCAAAGTCATTTTGCAATTGCACCATCATGTGTTGTAAATTTTTACCTGAGATTATCATACAAGTGTCATCAGCATACATGTACACCCCGCAATGTTCCACGACATTGACCATGCTATTGACATGCATTATATAACCAATAGGAGCATATACTGAGCCGGTGGGCACACCCATTGTGATGGCCGCATCTGCGCCTGTTGTTCCGTCGACAACTGTACAGAGCGTCCTGTTTCGCAAGTAATCAGCGAAGAATTTATTTGTCGGACCACTGATACCGCACTCATCCATGGCTTGTAATAGCTGATTATGATCCAGTGTATCAAATGCTTTTTTAAAGTCTATAAACAGAGCTAGAATTTGATTTTTATCATTAAGCTTTCCATTGATAAAGTGCTCCGTCCTCTTCTAAATCCGTGCTGGCAGTCGTCTAAAACATTGTTTCCCTCTAAATAATCGCTGATTTGTGTTACTACACTTTTTTCTACAATTTTATTTATCACTGATAAAATAGCTACAGGTCTATAGTTAGTATAGTCGAGATGGCATCCTTGTTTATAGATAGGTCTAATCAACGCTTGTTTCAGTTCATCAGGATATATACCATGTGTTACACACATATTAATAAATTTTGCAAGAATTCTACTCATTTGTTTGATTATACATTTCAAATCCACTACCCTTATTTGATCCTTTCCCGGTGCCTTGTCACAACTTAATTTTCTAATAATTTTTTCAACATCTTCTGATGTAATTTTTTTAAATCGGAAGGAACTTAAACTTCTACTAACATAGCTACTTCTGTCTAAAAACTTATCAAAACAATTATGTTTAATTTTCTCTATTTCTTGAGTAAACGTGTTAGAAAATTTAGTGCATATGTTATACATGTTATCTGTTTTACCTAAGTATTTATTTATTGTACCATCTATTGTTGACATATTTTTACCCGTCCACAGATTTATATTAGCCCATATTTTTTTATAGTCCCCCTTACATTTACTTAATTTACTTCTCCTGTACCTGTTTTTCGCAGCATCTATCATTTTGTTTACTTTATTTCGATATTTCGTATACTCTAACCTCCGATTCATATTAGACGGCTCTTCTTTCCATGCTCTAAATAACTCATTTTTCTTATCTATATGCAACATTATTTGTTTACTTACCCACGGTTGCGGTATTCTTTTATTTTGTCGTGTTTCTGAAAGCGTACATTCCGAATAAATACTGCGAAAAACACGGCACAGTTCATTATACATTAAAATAGGACAGTTAATCTGCAAGACGTCTTGCCACACAACATTCGTAAGCTTATCAATAACTAACTTATTATTTAACACGGTCCGCTTTGAAATTCTTTTACTAGATTGCAATACGTACGGCTCACACATAAGTCTAATACCGGTCATATGGTGGTCCGATAAGGTGCATTCAAATGTGTGTGTAGACACACATCTGATCGCTCCCGATTCGCCGTCGCTAAGTCTCGCCCACACGTGGTCGATGCATGACGTCTGTATCTGCCCGTCGACTATAGCTTCTCTCGTTATCGTCGTAGTTGGTATGGTCATCTGCAGGCCGTGACCACACAAGGTGGTTTTATAATTGCTCGATATAACATTCTGTTTCTCATTCATTAAATCGATATTCATATCGCCAATGACGATAACCTCTTCTTGTTTTGGTATACCCTGCAGCAGCCAGTCCAAGTATTTAATGAATTCTATTTTATTTTTACTTGGGGGTCTATATAATGCAATCAAGTGCAATGTACTCTTATGTAACATAATTTTGTCATATATTATTTCCAATTCCGGGTTATATGTTTTTTGTTTTAGGTAATTAAGATCATTTCTTATATAAATCAAGATTCCCCCACCCCTTTTATTTTGTCTTGTATATTCATGTGCACTATATCCATCTATTTTGAATAATGCAATTTCTTCCTTTTTCACATTTATTTCTGTTAATATTATAACATCTAATTTTTGCTTACATGTTTTTAATAGTACCAATAATTGGTTGAACTGTTTCTTTAATGATCTTATGTTTATATGTACAACGTCTATCTCCTTACTGTCTTTACTAGTAATATATTCGCTCCAATCTTTCATAGACTCATACCTCATATACACATAGTCTTTATCATCTACTTGAAAACGATCGAATTTTATGCGTTAAGGAATCACTTAGTGTGCTACGGGCTTAAATTTACTTGCTGGAGCTTGATAATAACCGTCGCACATCATTCTCACATTTAATACTGTGTATTTTTTTTGTACTTTCATTAGCTTTAACCAAAATTCTCGAGTTCTGTATCCATATAAATTTATAGGATTCTTTGAGCTCTTTTTTAGCTATCCAGAATAATTGTCTGAAGTACTTAGAGAGGTCTTCGTTTATATATATCTTATTGATACTCTTATTCGCGTATACAAAATCGTTAGTTATTTGTCGCTTTCGCATCTTAAGCCATTGTTCTCTCACTGATGTGCTTCGTAGCTTTATTATCACAGGCTGAGTACGATGCTGATTGTCCGCGCCTTTTTCCAGACCTACCCTCTTAACTTCTTCAATCTCGTTTGGATCCAGCGATAGTTTCTTTGCAAGTGTATTTACCACATCTTTTATATCTTCTTTTTCTTGCTTTTCCAGCCCCACTATCTCAATATTTCTCTCTTTTTCTTTCTGTTCAAGTACAATCACCCTCTCTTCTAACGCTTTATTATACTTTTCTAGATAAACCTGTTGTTGCTCCATGCTTTTCATTTTTTTCTCTGCTTGTTGTTTAAATTCAACCATTTCCTGATACTTCTCAGCATAAAAGCTCACTGAATTCTTTATATCTTCTAAATCTTTATCCATCTTATGCACTATTTCCAACTTTTTGTTAACTTCTCTCAACAGATCTTCCATAGCGGTCGGACATTCAAGGGGTCTAGCGGTGTGCTCACGGTAGGCTTCCTCTTGTTCCGTTATTTTCGGTGACAAAACAGCTAAAGCACTCTTTGAACATTCTTCGCAGCATTCTTTTTGTAAAAACTGCTTCATATTTTTTACACACTTTCTATGGAAAACTGAATTGCATTCACCTTTGCACCTTATCACATCGTCTTTATTGATCGACAAGAACAATTTACACTTCTTGCACTGTACCATTATGTTTTATTTTTAATACACCTTTATTAGTACTTATGTATTATTAATAATGTTCGCGTAACTGCGAGTATCAACGTGCGATCCGGGTAAGCGGTGCGAGCGGAATGAAGGCGTTGGCGATGTCCAAGGACACCGCCAACACCACTCCGCCGCAGCTCACGGCCTCCTCGGTCACGGCCCTAAGGCGCATTACGGCATCGATCGTCGAACGCCCCTCTCGGAAACCGAATTGGGCGTCCGACAGATCGGGGCCAACCTCGCAAAGGTGCCGGACGATGTGGGCAGAGAGCACCCTCTCAAAAAGTTTACCCGCCTCGTCCAGCAACACGATAGGCCTATAGGCCGCGACCGAATCGGCAGGCCGTCCCGGCTTCTGCAGCAGGACCAGCTTCCCGCATTTCCAGCGCTCAGGGAAGCGTCCGGACGCCAGGCTAGCGTCCAATACCCCCCTGAGGTGGTCCGACATGTAGTCGAGGGCTCGGGCCATCACTCGGGCTGGAACCCCGTCCGGCCCGGGGGCGGTGTTCTTGGATCGAATCCGTAGAACAGCCGCCCCCAACTCCGATTCCCTGACGGGCGGAACATCAACCTCGCTGCCCCCGTCGGCTTCGGCTGATGCAGCCATTGACGGGGGTGTGTGCTCCGCCCGCTGCGGGAATAGGCCCTCGACCACTTCCTGCAGGAAGCTGGGCTGGAGAGTCTCCGTAAGGGGGGGGCCCGACGTGCGGAGCTTTTGACGCACCGCACGATAAGGGCGACCCCAGGGGTCACGCTCGAGACTCTCCAGCATCTCCTCTCTACACGCATCCTTGGCGCGGCAGATGGCCAGCCTCAGAGTTTTCCGAGCTTCTCGGTACTCCTCATGAAGCCGGTCCACCTCCTCACCGACCCCGCGGTGACGTCGCCGACTACGGGTGAGGGACCTCCGGGCACGTACACAGGCCGCACGGAGGTCCGCCAACTCCTGGGACCACCAGTAGACCTCCTTCCTTGGAGGCCGACAACCACGAACGCGGGGCATGGCCGCATCGCAAATCTGCGTAATCGCATTGCAGAAGCGACCAGCCCCCATGTCGACCTCCTCGGTCGGGGCCTGCGGAGACAGCCAAGAGTGAATAATGGCCGCCTCCTCTAGTAGGTCCCTGTCGAGCTTGGCGACAGCCCACCGCGGGAAGCGGGAAGGGCGCCGCGCCGCGTGACCCCTACTGGGGTCCTGGGACCGGGAGAGCTCGAATCGGATGTATAAATGATCCGAGAGCGTCTCGACCTCTTCCAGGACACACCAGTTCCTTACTCGTGCGGCGACTGCAGGGGTAGCGAACGAAAGGTCCACTATCGACCCCCCCTGCTGTCGCACGCACGTGTTGGTGGAGCCTCTGTTCAGCAAACAGAGGCCCACCGACGCCGCCCACTCCTCGACGGCTTCGCCCCTGGCGTCCGTCGCAGGGGAACCCCACGCAATGGACTTTGCGTTGAAGTCCCCCAGCACGAGGACGTGCCCAGACACTAGTCGCCGCATCGAGGCCTCCAAGTTGTTAAGGAAGACCTCGAAGTCGTTCAAACTCCGGTTGGGGGAGAAATATACACCATAAATGGTGATTCATTATTCATTATTCATTATCCAGTACCCTTGTCTCTTAGCGACAAGGGCGGGGAATGAGCCGCCGTGGAGCCGACGACTGCCACGGAGCCGTCCCGGTCACCCATCCAGTTTGGACGGGGAGGGACAAAATAGGGCTCCGCGACTACGGCAACACCTATCGACCACTGTGCCATGGTTTGCAAGAAGAGATCCTGCGCCGCAGCACAGTGGTTCAGATTCGTCTGGACCAGGAGGTTGGAGACGTGATCCATTACTGGATCGTCTCTACAACCTCCTCCATGGGCGTCGGCGTCGACGCAATATTGACGTCGGGGGTAGCCTGGGTCGGCAGGCTAGACCCCGGCGTTTGCCGAGAAGCGCGCGGAGGCTTGCAGCCCCCCTGCCCCATCTGGTGATTGGCGGGCTTTTTAGCCGCCGCACACACGGGGCAGTGAGGGGCGGCAGAGCACTTTGCCGCCTTGTGCCCGGGTTGACCGCAGCGGAAACATAAACCGCTGCAGTCAAAGCAGCTCTCGCACTTGGTGCGAGTGTGTCCCGCGGCTAGGCACTTGAAGCACCTCATCGGCCTCGCGGCCAGAACCGTGATTCTGGCATTCACGAAGCCGACGAGCATGCTTCCGGCGTCGCCCAACGCTTTGGCCGACGCCACGGGACAACTCACCCACACCGCACCGAGGCCTCCCGGACCCGGACGGACGGTGCCGACTCTGATGGTGTCCGCGGTGCACCCAGTCTTCTCCATGACTGCATCGCGGACATCCTCTGACGTGATGGAGTCGTCCAGGCCCGAGATGCGCAGTTCTGCGCATTTGGTGGGCCTGGCGATCTTCACACCGTCCGTGCTGGTCAAAATCCCCCGCAGCTTCTCGGCGAATTTATCGGCCGTCGCCGCGCCTTCAGCCCCAGGGAACTCGAATACTCGAGCCCCCGTCTGTGCGCGGCGCAGCCTCATCCCCGCCGCCCCGAACTCAGTGGCGAGACCGGGCCTGGCCCCCTTGAAGAGGGCCGCATACGAGAGCCCGCCACTGGCCGCCTCCGGCGACAGCGTCACTACTACAGCCGCGGTTTTGGGCGGCTGCAGCTTCCGCGGCCTCTTAGTCGAGGCCGCTGTCACCGGTGGTGAAGGCTGGGCTTGGGCCGCTTTTTGGGCAGCCCTTCTAGCCCGCCTTCGGGACTTCTTTGAGCCCCTCGCCTCCTGCCAACCCTCGTTGGAGGGGGCAGGTGCGGAGGGGCCCGGCAGGGATGTCGGAGTGGGGAGCGGAGGGAAAGCCACTCCGCTCCTCTTCGCCGCTTTACTCTTGGCCGGCACCTGGGCCGGCGCCTTGGCCGGTGCCTGGGCCGGCGCCTTGACTGGCGCCTGGGCCGGTGCCTTGGCCGCTCTTCTCGGCCCCTGGGGAGCCGGTGGTGGAGTCGGGGCCGACGCCGACGCCGCCGCCGCGTATGACACGCGGCCTCCCACAACAGGGAGCGCAGTCGGAGCAGCAGCCTTAGGCCGCTGCGACGACGCGAGCGGGGGGCGCACGACCGGCGCAGGAGGCAGTCTCGCCTCCAGACCGGCCAGACGGCCGTCCAGCATACGCCCAACTGCGTCAAGAATTGACCGCAGTTGGGCGTCAGGCACCACTGAGGTCGCGGTAGGGACAGGCTGGGGCGCGGACGGGGACCCCGCTCGGGGAGGTTCGCCCGGAAGCGGGCGAACTGAGCGCTCAGCCCGTTCACCTGCTCCGTCAGCCTGTCATTGGCCATCTGTAGGCGAGACACGTCGCCTACTAGGCCCTCCACGACCTCCGACATGGCGGAGGAGGAGTCCTTAAGGGCCCTCACAAAAGAGCCCTTAAGGTTAACCGACTTGGTGGCTACCTTCTGAATTATAGCCACCGCCGCTCTCGCCCTCTCCTGCGCAGACACGGGCGCCCGGGGGGCATCTCCCTCCACCGGCTCCCGAATCTTGAGCAGGAGACCCGCGATCTCCTCCTCCGCTGCAGCCTCGCCGTTGGCTCGTACCCGTCTGTAGGCATCCGCCTTGGAGAAGGCGGAGCCTGACGGGACGGGGACAGGGGTACGCGACCTCCCTATACGGCCGCCCTTAGGAGGCCCAGACTCCACGGATGGGTGTTCTTCCCCATCCCTCGAGAGTTCCCTCTTGCGGCTCTCGCTCGGTCCCGCTTCCACCTCCATGCGCTCCGAGCTGTTCGTCCTCTCGCTGGGGCCTTCACCCACGCCAGTAGTGGCAGATTTGGAGCGCAAGCGCTCCGATCTTCGGCTCCCAGCAGTCAGTCTACTACAGACTACTACTGGGAGCCCCACCGAGATAGGCGTTCCCAACATCGCCTCACCCTCGGTGGACGCCAAATCCACTCCACCACTCCTCCTTTTCGACTCCTCCTTCTCCTTGTTTGTCACCGTTTCCGTTTTGCTCGCCTTTGTCGTTGTTGATTTCAGTCCTTTTCTATTTGATTTTTCGTTATCATTTTCCATAATTAAACCCACGAGTGGGGGAGAACTAAAGGTCCACCCGGGCAGAGATCCCCTAATACCCGGGTAAGCGTAAATTTATGCCCAACCGAGGGGTCCGCAAGTGCCCCGGCTGGGAGTGCGCTTACGACTGAACTACCCATCAGCCATGCATCCCCTGGCCACGCACCAGAACACGGGATTCGGGGCATTTTTTAGAGAGGTTTACATCCTCGCGGTCCGGGCGGTTAAGCCAAGACCCTCGCCCCCGATCAGAGCCGCGAGACTTGACCACAGCGCTCTTCTCGGGATTACGATATGCCGACGGTGACAGGGAGACTACGTCCCCCTGCCTGCTCGGTGGTAGTGTCAGTACACGCCGAGCCCGTCCTCCTTTCTCCACCGCTATCAGCGGAGAGAGCGGCCCCTACAGGGCCCCACCTTCTGGTTTTTTACCGAGGTTTCCTCCTCCATGCTCCGAAGAGCGAAGAGCCAGCAGGGCAACCGGCAGACACGCCCGCCCTGCTGGACCAGGCCTTGCCCGAGAGCCGATGAACGGCTACCTCTTCTGCTAGAATATTAGCCGCTGGCGATAATCCTCTCCTCCAAGAGGACAAGGAGGAAACAGTGCCATCGCCAGCGTTTCCAGGGTGCACCACGGGGAGGTTTTCTAGCATAGCACCCCACTACTCATGTGCCTGCCAGGACCTTGCCAACGGACGCAGGTTTTGCTTTATGTCGGATTTTCTCCATGCTTTTGTTTGATTGATCCTGTGAAACAATGTCTCGCCAAAAGCAAGAATGTAAAGACCAGCTCATTAAAAAAGCAATTTAACTTTGCCAAAATCAAAAGGCAAAGTCAGAACACATCAACTTTGACTTGACAATTTTGATTCCAAGTCTGTAGGTACCTAAATGCTGGTAAGCTCAGACACTCGAAAAAATACAAGGGACGATTTTTTTTAAAAGCAATAACTTTTTTCGTCCAAACAAAATCTGTTTGTTGCATCACTTAGCTTTTTTTAAATGTAGGGCAAAAGTTTGCAGGCAAGTCTCTTGATGGTAATTGATTATCTTGGACGCCTGCTCCGCAGGATAGAGAGCTAACTTCTATATCCAGCATTGGAATCCTTATTGCAAACATATCGAGCTAGCTAGTATTTGACTTCGGTCTAAAGGCTCCATCTTTATAAGGAACTAGTTGGGCCTCATAAAGACCTCTGTTTTTATTTCTGGGTACCCCCGTAATAACCTCTCCCCTGGAGAAGAGCATTAACGGAGAGCGACTCGAATAATTGATTCGAGGATACGATATTTACGGTCGGCTTGACCTACTAGCGCTGCGTTGAGATGTAGCACACGTTATGGGCAGCCTTCCGCACTCATTCAAAGTGGCAAAACATCCGTGTACTCGTTTACACCATGTAATAAGAAAAAAGGAACGAAGTGGTTACTTAATTCAAACGGGTGGAAATAAACTACAATGCCCATGGCTAGCCAAGCTTTTAGTTGAAGGTCAATTCTCGTAATAAAAATTCGTTCAAAATTCAGTTGCGATCTACTGTCGATCTTACAAATATCATAAGACATTCTTGTAGTAAAGTAGGTATTTTCCAATTTCCATCGTTGACTGTAATGTGATTAATAATGTAAATATATTATATCGTATTGAGTGAGACCGAAAGTTGAATCGGTATTATGTTAGTCTTGGTAATGTTCACAACTTTACTACGAGAATTCCTTTTATCAAATTTGTGAGATCGAGATCGGAACTGAATTTTTAACGTTTTTTTTCTGGTTTTTCTTGTATATCTATACTACCTATAACGTGTATTGACCATTTGTAGTTTTTAACTGACTTACTTGACAGACTGTATCGAAACTCTTATTTTAATGCTTCCTTGGAGCTAAAATCCAATCATCAGTAGTGGCAGCAGAGTAGTAATCGTTCCTTTGTACGCACCAGGTAGCAAACTTTAGAAGTGTTTGGTTTTGCAAATAATTATTTTAATGAATCAGAAATAATCATATTACATTATTAAAAAATAATAATTATACTATAATCTTTTTTATTTGTAGAATTCTCGAAATTAATTTATGAATAGGAAATACATTTTATATACTCCACAAATGTCAATGTCACTCAATGTTTTGTATTGAATAGTAGGTAATAGTAGGGATAGGGACTATAATTTAGGAGTAGGTACACGCCAAAGTTTAATAATACACAGGGTTCGTGCCTAGCTTATTATTTCAGTACAGTGAAAAAAGTGGTTTAATATCAATGTAATTTAAATACCAAATAAAAACCTCTACAATATGGCCCAACAAAGTGAAATTTTAGATTTTTCAGGTTTATTTAAACTAGATGTTTTGTTACATCTTGATATTGTGACATATAGCTTTTATGAAGTCGGACAAAAGAAATTTTTCGCTTTTACAAGTGATAAAGAATTTGTTTTAATATATATTACTCCTCAAATGGAACGTATGGAAAAGAATTATGATTGGGATTTTCTTGATAATCCAATTCACTGTATGTGTTTTGAACCGAGTGGAACGTGGGTGATCATAGTTAGCGATCAGAAGGTTTTGCTTGTGCCATTTCTACCTCTGTTCATTCCTCAAAATGCCTTTGACCAGAAGTGGTCATTGTCGAGGGTTACAGTTTTGCCTTTGGGAAATGTATTAAATCCTACGTCGTTGACGTGTTGGTTGACTAAGGAGTCCGAGAACATTCTGATTATAGGCTCCAAGGTAAGCCGACGCAATAGTATTGAATCTTATATAAATATTAAAAAAATTGTATAGAGATTTACTACTAATCTTTATAAATATTGCTTTTGCAGACAGGAAGTATAATATTTTATTCACTAGAGTCACAAAATATTGTTGGGGAGTGTAGAGTGCAAGGTGAAATCACTGATTTGCAAATATGTTATGATGATTCACTGGACCTATTGACTCTGTTGGTGAGTAAATGTGATGATAATTATGGCATCTAATCTAAATAATGTTTTAGTTGGTAGTCCATTATTAGATGTAATGTAAACAATCAATAATGTGTAAATATGTATTTTGAAATTAGCCATTGTTTCCAGTGGATGCTGGTCCTCTGGTATAGCTCAGATCCCTCTATTTAAGTACTAACCCTACACAAACTGTATAAATTCTAATTTTTAAGACATCTGTAAATCAAATAAATATTAAAACGAAAAATGAATTCCTTGAATGAGAAGACTTTTAGTACTTTTATATTAGGGATGTGTTGATTGTTTAAATGTCATGGCCTGTAGATTGAGCAAAAAATATTTTTTTATTTATTGTTAAGAATATTATGATATATCTATTAGTCTGCCATGCCAATCCAATACACTGTAACTAGATATTACCACTAACTTGTATTGACTCGATAGTTTTGCCAAGTCTTAATGGTACCAGAACAAGGCAAAATAACAAAACAAATTGCAGTGTTTTGCCTTGTAGAAATGCATGTCATTAATTTTGTACACTCTGTATCTACCCAACAATACACTGTATCTAATGCCATCCCCTCTGGACGTCCAAGCTCAGAACACCATGTATCTCGGCATGGGTATGTCCATGTCGCGTGGAAACTGTTTGACAAAATATCTGCCCATAGCAAGTGCAGGCACATCAGGTCACGCTTGACGTGGACTTCTGCAACATCAGGGATCTACACTCAAACCTCAATGCTGTCCACCACCACTGAGATAACGAAACCGGCCTTGTTCTTTTTAACCGAGACATAGTCATCTCCATCAGACACATCCTACCTCTTCTACCCTGACTATCATCTGGAACACTCCTTTGTTGCTAGGGTATATCAGTTGCCGCCGCCTCGCCAATCTAGGAGGACGGGACATCTACATCTTGTGGCTCCGTGTAGACAGCGACGACCATCCCCATGTCTATGCATGCCTCTCCTGGTCCTATAGCGGTAATATTGAAACTGAGCCACTTTAACATTCACAACGCTGAATGGGTTGGTTCACGAAAAAACCGATCACGCGGGGAGATCTGTTCACGATTTCGTCCTGACCTTTTGCTTCTAACAACTAGTATCAAGGCCTACGATCTTCTCCTGACCTCTGATCCGGACGGTTACAACGTCACCGTTGGGGTCCTACTTGGCTTCTCAGATCATTGCCTAATCCAGAGTGCGGTGCCACTCAAGTACTCGAAGCGGCTGCGAATTGCAGGCTGCCGCCGCGTATGGCACTATAGGTCAGCCGACTGGAATGGGATGCCGCTCTTTCTTTGCGTCCTACCCATGGAGGCGGTTTTGTTTCTTGCCGGATGATCCCAACGTCGTTGCCGATTCTGTCTTTGACGTAGTCCTTCAGGGCATGAAACTATACGTTCCATATACCTTTAAGTCCCACTAATGGCAGATCCAAGCCTTGGTTTGAATGATCCTGCAAAACGCCGCCGCCCCGCCGAAAGCGGAAGGTGCAGTAAAACTTTGCCTCCAGGTTCCTCAAAAGAGCCTTTGCCAGAGCAAAATCGGAGCAAATCAGCCTAATTGGTGAGATAACTCCCTTGTTCTCTAAGATATTGAAATTATTATCGTTTCGTCCAGTCAACTATGTTGGTTGAACGGCATCAACGTGCGAGTGCACGGATTGGGGCAAAACCCTGTATTTTTATCGCTGTACCTAAGCAACGCAAAGAGCTTGTTTAGGCAAAATACTGTAAGCTTTGTTACAGTTTTTTAACATATTAAAACCCTAATTTCAATAGAATACATTATTGTTTAGATTATTGTTTCTTCCAAAATACAGTTTAGAATAACGTAATTGACGGGGTGGAAAACCCCTTGGATCTCGTGCTCCTCGGGAACTCAGGAGCCAGGAGTATGTGGTGATTCCACTAAAAACCACCCTGACGGCCGGCCTCAGGTGTCCTACTGAAACTGATTGACCATTGTTAAAGCAAAAAACTGTAAGCCGAGTTACAGTCTTTTGGATATGCATGGCAGTAGTAGTTAAGTAGTTGCATAACTTTAACATATTTCACAATTTTCACTAGTTTTGAGTAAAAAAAGTAAAACTAACTATTTGCAAAATAATTGGGTAAACTATACCTCATTTAACATAGTTTACTAATTAGTTCTTTATATTTTGCACTTTATTGTTTACTTTGTAATCTACTTTAGTAAGTTTCAAATATTATTATATTTAAAGTAATTTCAATTGCAATGAATCTTTTAACTACCTATTTTTACTAGTATAAAATATTTTAAGATAATTATAATAGAATGTACCACCCACTACAGCATCTATACAAATAAATAAAATTGAAGTGTCTGTTTGTAATGTCAAAATAATAGGTTTTTTCATGCTTACACAGTTATTTGCACGATACCTATGACTAGAAACCAGTTTAAATATGTTTTGTCTGTCTGTTTCTCTTCTGTTCTGTTCTGCCGAACTCACTAAAGCAGCGCTTTTCAAATTCCACGCGAACGAAGTCACTGGCACCAGCTAGTTTAACATATAATAATAATAAACTCTGTACTGTAAACAATTATTGCATATTTCCAGATATCTATCAGTAAATCACAACAATGTAAGTTGGTCCTGGAACATAGGTCCTTTGGATACAACTGGCTACAACAAACCAGAGCGCAAAATGATAAGGATAAGAGAGATGGGTTCATGTCATATATCAAACAATTGTCAAAAGATAAAATCACCTTTTTCATACAGGGTGGCTCTAAAGGTAACACACACAGAAGTCAGATTGGTTTTCTATCAGGTTGTACAGGTTCAGAGTGTAATTACTCTATTATCAATCTTAATCTCCTCTAAACACAAGCAAGTTTGAAAAGTAAGGGGCCATCCATAAATTATAGTTAAACCGCCGTAAGCTTGGCCCTCCTGATGGTTTGGGGACGCGGGGCGGGGGTGCATTTAACCAATTAGCTAGTGCGTCGCTGTCCGCCGGCAGTGACTGACGTGAAAGCATGACTGTACGTGTTATTTTTCTTAAGACTGCTACACACGGTATTATTTTGCAATATGGATAATCTGCCGACTCTGCGTCACAAAAATATTTAAAAACTTGAAGTTCGGCTTACAGAGGTTCTACTGTTAAAGTTCTAATAAAGAATATTTATTATTTTACTTAATTTTTAAATTGTATCTGAATATAATTTACTTGATGAAGATAAGGTGATTTTATTAAAATTATTTTACAGTATTAAATTTTACAATTAATCATAAAAACTTACAGTACACTGACATTATAATACATGGAAATAAATTCGATTTTTATTACATCGTGTGTAGATTAAATCTCAAACAAATAAATCTGAAGATATCGAGTTAGTACATCGTGTCATGTATAGCCGAGCGCATCACCCGCCCCGCGTCCCGCAAACCATCAGGAGGGCCAAGCTTACGGCGGTTTAACTACAAGTCACACGTTAAAGGGGGGGGGGGGAGGAGGCTGTCAACAGAATCTGACATTGTGTGATAAGGGGCAGGGGGGTCAATAACTTTGTGACGTCATGTGTTAAAATTTAAAATATTAAAACGCTAAATTTAAATGTGAATAAAAAACTTTAGTAGTAGTCGTAGGAAGAGAGGACAACGAGGCTAAGTTTGCTCCATTATTACTACATTTATCAGTAAATCGCCGAGCATCATTCTATTTGAAACAAGTTCCATATGATAGTTATTGCCCTCGTGTCAAGTCATACATATTTAAAAGATCATATTGTAGCACTAGCTGGCCCGCGCAACTTCGTCTGCGTCTCTCAATAGTAATAAATTTTCTCCGTTTTTGAAACATTCTTCATTGGTGCTCCGCTCCTATTGGTCTTAGCGTGATGATATATAGCCTATAGCCTTCCTCGATAAATGGGCTATCTAAACACTGCAAGAATTTTTTAAATCGGACCAGTAGTTCCTGAGATTAGCGCGTTCAAACAAACAAACAAACAAACTCTTCAGCATAATAATATTAGTATAGATTCTATTAGTATAGTACAGTCAGGTGTAGAAATTTTACAATAGCAATAGCAACATTAGGACATATTACATAGATTTGTTTAGACTCAAGCTAAATATAGCTTAAACTGAGGCTTTTAGAATACGGTTAAAAATCCGTAACTAAGTTTTAATAATAATCGAATCAAAAAGAATCAGACCGCTGTTGGTGCGGCGACGCATCGCCATAACAATTTCTACAAAATAATTTTGATGTATGTAGAACATCTGCTAGACGTCCCACTAGAGCTTAATTCGATGTAGTGAAAGTCAACCCTCTTTTTCATAAAATTGTTTCGAATTGTATTTTATTCAACTACTGGCTGACCCGCGCAACTTTCAGTTTTTACAAATATTTTTCATTGATGCTCGGCTAACATTGGTTGTAGCGTGATGTTATATAGCCTACATCGATAAATAGGCTATCCAGAGCGAAAATATTTTTTCAATTCGAACCTGATTTCGTTCCTGAGATTATCGCGTTCAACCAAACTCCTTTCAAAACCAAACCAAACAAAGTTTTATATTAATACTAGCTGACCCGCGCTACTTCGTCTGCGTCTCTCAATAGTAATAAATTTTCTCCGTTTTTTAAACATTCTTCATTGGTGCTCCGCTCCTATTGGTCTTAGCGTAATGATATATAGCCTATAGCCTTCCTCGATAAATGGGCTATCTAACACTGAAAGAATTTTTTAAATCGGACCAGTAGTTCCTGAGATTAGCGCGTTCAAACAAACAAACAAACAAACAAACAAACAAACTCTTCAGCTTTATAATATTAGTATAGATATGTGGTCTATATTTTTCTTCATATAAAGCAGCTAATCAATACAAGCAATCGCATAAAAAACGAGAGATGTTACCTATCATAAAAATTCGTCCGCAAAGATATGAATAGCTATATGAAGGTGTGATGAATGTTGATTTTATTACTGTTTCCTTTTAATTATTTTTAATACGTGCAGAAAATTGAAACAGGTGTGCCGTCACATTAGGGAAGGGAAGGGGGGTTTCTAAAATATGACACGTGTTACAAGGACGGGGATAGGGGTTAAAAAGTCCTAAAATTCGTGTGACGTAATTTATGGATGGCCCCTTACTGGTCTCAACCATTGGTCCTAAGTATCTTAGAAAACTGCTTTGCTAATTCAGCTGCACTTATAGGTCACATATTCACACTCAGTCAGTTTACTTTTTGTTTATTGATGCTTACAGATGATAACAAATCCCAAACTGTAGAATATGTCTTGAAGCCGACAGAGTACCTACCATTATTCCGTAAAGGATCAAACAACTGGGCACTGACAGCGCAATATGTAAACGGTAGACATTTTCTGACAGCATTTGAATTAAATGAGGGCACTCTCATTGTAAGTAATCTTAGTATTTTCATAGTAAAAAATATTGTTCAACACTTGTGCTTCCTAGACTGGCCAATTTTAAAGATATATTAATATATTTGACTGCACGGATGGTGTAGTGGTTTAAGCAGTCACCTCGCCGCTTCCTACTGCGCTGATTGTAGTGGGTTAAAGCCCCACATGGAATAACACTTTGTGTGATGCACAAATTGTTGTTCTGAAGTCTGGGTGTTCTTTGTGTCTGTTTCATGTATGTTTATAAAGTCCCCGCGACACAGGATATATTCCTAGTGAGGGAGTTGTCTTTTATTACACTTATATAAACTAAACAATATACATATAGCTATTATAGTTTCATGTGGGGATAGTACTCTTTGGATTGATGGAAAATTGTATAAATTTTTATTCTAAGTTTACTGGAAGACTGTTACCATATTTGTATAGTTGTAAATAATACCTTTACCATTTGGCATTGTGTTTTTGCCATACTTGATTATCTGTATCTATGTAACTAGTCATAAGTCGTACAGATAGTTCTGAGTTTCAGCCCATTATCCATCTAATAAGATAGACTATAGAATACAGCCAGGGGGAGGTCTTATTGGTGGAAGAGTTTTAATTAAATACCTTTAAATACGTATCATAAACATGCGTCTTCTCTTAAATTAATTTATTAATTTGCAGTTGGAAAGCCCTGAAGAAGATACGCCTTCAAGAACATTGAGGCCATATATAAAGAAAGATGGCTTATATGTTCAGGGTTTATGGTCGCAACGTATTATCTACCTTATACGAAAGAATGAAGTTGAAGTACATTCTTCTAGTTTTTCTGTAATTCAGGTAAAGTGTGATGTAATAATCTGGTCTTAACTATAATTTCATAATAGGTCATACATTTGTTCTTTAAATATGACTGGTGCGATTTCTTGTATTTTATTAGGCTCTTTACACAACTATGTTAGAAGGAAGGGTTATTTATCAAGCCTAAATAGCTTAATGAATGTTGTCATGTGAGGTGTCATTTGAAACATTTTAAAAGAGGACATAGATAATAAGATTTGAAAAAAAATATATAGCGTGGAGACACGTGGTCACGCTTACAGCCGGTCTGACCCTCCGTATTAGATGCATAGAAAACTCTTTATTTGTACACCGTTTTACAAGTAGTATGTTACATAAAAATATCAGACATGTAATGTACAAAGGGCGGCCTTATTGCTAAGAGCAATCGCTGCCAGGCAACCTTAGGATGGATTAAAATGTTTTGGAGAGACAGTAGTAGTTGAAGGTGCAATGTGACAGGTTAATTACTAATGAACATAAAAGCGGTAAAATTAAATAAATATTTACACATAAAACACATATACAATATACATACATATACATATGATATACATACATATATATTTATATATACATAACTAGTTAAGTAAGACATAAAAACAAAAAGAAAACGAACATTCTTATCCTTCCTTAACGCGTAATTGACTTAATCAATATACATAAAATTCTTGAACCATTTTCTTAAAACTGTTTATCATCTGCGCTCGCCTGATGTTTATCGGCAATGCATTCCACAAATGTACAGCTCAAACCGTAAAAATATGGTCATAAAATTTTGTGGAATGCAGAGGCATCTCAGCCTCAATTCTCGGATGACCTCAGACATTTTTCATATGTGTTGTTAAGGAACTTGAACCTTTCTTTGAGGTAGAAGGGGGCTCTAGGATTGAACAAGATGTTATAAAGAAAAGCGAGGATATGAGTATTCCGGCGAAAGCGAATCGGAAGCCACTTGAGCTTTTGACAGAATTCAGAAACGTGATCATCTTTTCTTAACCCAAATACAAATCGTATACAGAGATTTTGAAGTCGCTCAAGTTTATCAAGTTGTGTTCAGTGAGATTTGATGTTTCACATCGAAAATGGCGTCATAAAATTATAGTGGTCCAGTATATATTTCTAGCTATCATGGTCCAAAAGTCTATACAGTGACAGTTTTGATCGACAGACGATCTCTAGTATTTTAATAGGTAATTTTATTTGTAGGATATAAAAAACGGTCCAATTTAAAATGTTCTAGGGTGAAGCTCTCCTTGGTGCAAAGCGTGAAAGTTCAGAGTTATGGAACGCCGAGTTGATCGGAGACGTGCGTCGTGCACATCTGATGTCGGTGAAAGACCCTCCGGTGATGACTGGCGGATGGCGTGAACCTACCTTTATGTGCGACTTGCAAGTGCCGCGCTTTAACCTCGAACCGTGTTTCATTGTTACCAATCAGGGTGCCTATATTTTAAATACTGTGTAAGTTTATGTAGCTATTAAATAATTCAGGACTGACTAGTGTTGTAAGGTTATAGTTATGAACGGAATCAGTTTTGAAATAAAATTTTAATGCAACGGCCACGGGTAGTAATAAATTGACCACCGCTCGGGTGGGTTTTTGCCATCTTTGGGTTCCTTAAAAGTGCAGAGAGTTGATGGTGTTTTCAGCGTTAGTGAATTTATTATTAGGCGGTCATAATGTGACCGAATATTGATGTTTTTTTAAAGGAAGGCATGGATGGGTTTTTTATTGTCAGTGTGTCAGATTTTAATCGTTTGTTGAGGAATGTTTTTGGGTGTAACATCATGGTTCCCTTTAGAGACGGAGCAGGACTATAAGCGCTCAATACGTTAGTTAATTTCTGTTAGGAATTGATGGTGTAATTGCATCGTAACGCGTGTTCATTAATGTTCAGTCTGCCGTTTTCTGAATGGATGTGTATCGTAGTTCGGAAGCGTCGGAGTGGCTGGTGGGGCTGATAACGCGCGGGGGCGCGGGCGCGGAGCAGTCGTGCGCGGCGCTGGGCGCGCCGCTGCCGGCGCTGCTGCGCGCCGCCGCCGACCTGCTGCTCTCGCGGGGCAAGCTCGCGCCCGCGCACTACCTCTACAGCCTGCACCAGGTACGCCGCCGCCCTCACCGCCTCGTCCCTCACTAGACTGCTCATAAACATTATACATAAATTACACCCAGACAGACAAATGACAGTGCTCATCACGCAATTATTTATCCTGGGTAAGAATCGAACCGACGATCTCCAGCTTAGCGGTCAGGATCGCCGATCACTAGAACGACGGGCCTGAATAGTTGCCGAAACAAAAAAAAAGATTTTTCAAATGAGTGTTTTTCATTGTAAGTTTTATTTCTAGAGTCAACCGGACGGTTGGGTGGCGCGTCTCGGCGTATTCGGTCGCATCAGAGACCTCGCAGAATACAAAAACACCGGTAACATTGGAAGCCTCGGCGATGCAGCCGTTACGGTCAAACTCCTCGCTATGCTGCTCAATATGGAGACGTCTAATGAGTGGCAGGGTTTTGATTCGTAAGCTTTTATATGTTATTTTATTAAAAATTTCGTTTACGTTTCACAATCTAGCCTTTAAGTCTCTAGCCTTAATTGTTTGTGTAAACTTCTAACAGAATCATTTTATCAATCGCAATGTTATAATCGTATTGTTTAAGCTTGTGCACTAAGAATTTGACAAAGGAATTTCCACCTATTTTTAGAGCACTGCCAGACCAATTGCGTACCGCGTTTTCAGAAATTGGCATTTTACGTACGTACTTTACAAAACATTTATTTACTGGGATGAGAACTAAGAACTTTTAGAATAGCTCTAATAACCTAATTCCTAAAACACACTTTCAAAGAAAAATATATTACAGCGTTGACAAATTGTTTTCAGAGATATCAAACTCACAATATTGAGTCAAGTGGAGTTACTTGAATTATGTTCATTCGCTGCCTCAGTTGGTCTATGGGACGTGGTGCCAGTATTTAGCATCCAACGCGGCTATCCGTATATCCTTCTTTATGCTTTGAAATCAAGAAATGATATGTGTCGCGGAGCTATTGATTGCCTTTTAAAGCAGAGATGTCTTGTGCCTCTCTTACTGGAACAGAATGGTCAATGGCTATTTGACTATATCGTTGACAAGCGCAATGAGTTGGATACTAATATTTTAAAGGTAATTATTAGGAAATATTTCTTGTATTTATTATCAGAAAATGTTTCAAATGCTGCATGCGTGGTATTTAAATATAAAATGTTGAATTTTCAGTGCTTGTGCTTATGGCTAAATCCATTACAAGAACAGCTGCGTCCGTTAATGCGAGATTTGAATCAAGGCATAACATCAATATACGTGAGTGAAGTTTTTGAAACAAATGTTTTTTTATATTAAAAGTTATAACACTATTTAAATCATTCCTTACGTTATAATATGATTGATTCGTTACTATTAGAGAACTTCTTAAGTTTAATGTGATATACTATTTTACAACAGACAGCAAGACTGCAGCAATTGATAACAACATTCGTACACATCGCTTGTGTGATTGAATCTCGCGATCCATGTCCAGATATACATCTGGAAATAACACAAAGCGCTGAAACTTGGAAAAATCAGTTCACGCCTAAGAGAGCCCTGAGCTGTGGCCTGGCCCACTGGGCCGTCGTCGACGACGGTAATGCCAAGATTATGATGACGCACACTCCAGTAAACACCGAGTTGATCGGCAGAGTCATCGATGTGGCCTGCGGGCGACACCACACTTTGGTCTTGACTGAAAATGGGGTAAATTTTAACGTATTTCTTAACTAACAAATAAAAGGGTGAACAGTTAGTCAAATAGGCATGTACATTTCACTATATCGAAATTTTATTGCATCACATAGTTATATCCTTAGATTTGTGGTAATCTTAAAGAATAAATTCATCATCCGTTGCTGAAAACAGGTTTGCAGCCTCTCCCAATAAACGTCACCGTGTTCGATAGTCAGCTCTCCTCGTCTAGTTATTTTTTGCCGTAGTGCAGATCGTTTTTCGTCTGGCCGCAGCGTGTCCTACACTGTATTTCTGTAGACGCAATTTCCATTAACTCTTCTACCGAGTCTGCGGGCACAGCTTCAACCCGTGCAACTTGATTCGCTCTTTCTTTGAGTCATGGCGAGCTCGCGAACCGACTTCACCGTAGACCGTTACGAGTGAGACTCGAGGCTTAAATAAATAATGTGTGCGGTGGGTCCAGATATACGCGGCGGGCGACAACAGCTTCGGGCAGCTGGGCGTGGGCGCGCGGTGGGCGGGGGGCGCGGGGGACGCGGCGGCGAGCGCGGGGGCGCTGCGCCACGTGCGCGCCGCGCCCCCCGCGCCCGGCGCCGCGCTGGCGGCCGGACACTACCACTCCGCCGCCGTCGACGTGGGCGGCCGCCTCTACATGTGGGGGTGAGTTCTATCCGATTCTACTTTACGAGTTACAATTGAGGTATAATTTTTCGTAATAAAATGGAAGGATTATAGAGGATATCAAATTTCGACCTCTTGTTTTTGCGAAATCTAGGATATTTTTACTCGACTGCACCAGAAATGGTTATGTTGTATGTATATCTCTTTAACACGTTCCGTAGTCTAAAAGGCTTTGTGCATTAGCGTTCAAATCTAACGACAACTTTTAGATTCGTCATAATTGTGTCTCACTGGATAGGTAAATCAAAATGATAATAGTTTAAATGGCCGATTTTTTATCGGTTACCAAAATAATAATGGGTTTTATAAATCGCACCTTTATTCATAAACTGAATTAACTCAGAATTTCAATATTGTGGGAAATCGCATTTAAAGTTTGACATTCATGTACGTGCGAGTTCGTCAAAAAGAGAACGACGATCTCTTATCTCTGCCATTTTCATGGTATCGAGTTGGCTGTTGGATTGTTCGTGTTCTACTGATGAAGTTGATTTGGTATTTGTTGAAAACTCGAAAAACGTAAATTTTGAGTTAATTCAGTTTATTATTAAAGGTGCGAAATGTCTTACAAAATGTACATAACTTGTACAAGTTTTTGTTACTTATCTGAGAATATATTTCACTCGATCGTTTTGTTTTAGATGGGGTGTCCACGGTCAACTGTGTCTCGGCACCATAGACGATGAATGGTCGCCAAAGTTAGTTACTAAATTCCAAGGAAGAAAGGTATCGTATTTATTATTTTCACAATTTGCGTGTTATTCGCTTTAACTTTGTTAAGTTTACATAGACGAAAAAAACGATTTCAAACAATTTTCAAAATTTTATGAAAAAAGAGAGTTTGAGTTTGGCAAAAAAAAACATGTCAGTTGTATAGGAGCCCCACTTAAATATTTATTTTATTCTGTTTTTAGTATTTGTTGTTAAAGTCGGCAAAAGAAATACATCATATGTGAAAATTTCAACTGTCTAACTATCACGGTTCGTGAGATACAGTCTGGTTACAGACGGACGAACGGACAGCGGAGTCTTAGAAATAGGGTCCCGTTTTACCCTTTGGGTACGAAACCCTAAAAATTATGTTAGAGAAAATAAAACACTTGTGAATAAAAATATATTGTGTTACAGGTACTAAGTGTCGGTTGTGGTGCTTGCCATACGGTGGTGCTGATGAAGAACGGAGAAGTATGGGCTTGCGGGGCCGGAGTGTTCGGCCAGATCGGACAGGGCAACAGAAACAAAGCTTCGGTGCCACTACGAGTACCCATACCAGACACGGTCGTTGCTATTGCTGTTGGATACTTCCACAACGTAAGTTATAGTTTCTTTAAGGCTCTCGATGAAGACCTCAAACAACTTCTTATTACATAGAATAGGTATATTTAAATGCCTGTTCGTTGTTTTAATCTCCATACACTCTGTATTTGTACCGGTTAAAACTTTAACGCAGTCCGTGTTTTTATAAGGTAAACGTTTTAAGAAAAAAAAAACAAACTAGATTCATACAACGTCACTTGCTAATAATCCGAGATGCCGCCGCTTGATTCTGCAGGTATCTTAATGAAACTTAATTTAAATTAATGATTAGTGAGTATCCAATGCATTAGTTTCGGGTTGCCTATAATAATTACCTGTAATTAAATTTAGTGTAACAATAATGTGTTAAATAATAATAACCTCACACATCTCACACGGCCGTCTGATCGAGCGGTGAGATTTTAGGCTAGAAGTGTTCTATACTTTGTCCCAACAATCACCGACTGGACAATCAAGTTAAGCAAGAGACTAATAGGTATTCTATGTGTGACATTACGTTCAAAATGTTCATGGTCACAACAGTGCTTTGTTTGCGTATGTTTTCTGGAATGCGTAGGAGTCGGGCTTCTTTTTCAACTACGGCTTATCGCATGATTTATTTATTATTATTCGCTCATATAAATACGACCTTCTATTCTAAAGTATTGTACGAATAGTTAGCAGAGAGGTCTTGTTCCAACTCAAAAATTGAATGTTGGCTATGATAACACTAATAAATAGTCTCTAGATAATGTAGGATTTACTATTGCTTCTTCTTTTTTATTTTTTATTTTTCTTTTTTTTTTTTTATTTTTTTTTTTTAATCTTTATTTGATTCGGGGTTTTGATCCAGTAAGGATATGCCAACCCCATTGTACCTTGATACATGGTAAACACAAATAATTTTGTTAAAACAGTCTGGTATATTAAATCATTGCTGAACTACTGTAATCAGGTGACACAATTTTTTAGCTGCTTCTGACCTTGGATTATTGCTTCTTATTAATCCTAAACTACTATATTATTTAAATCAAATAAATAATGGAACGATAAGGCATTTCAAGTGTATTTTTAATTTTTAATTTAATGATCTACATTAAATGCACAACATACCTATTTAGGTAATTGGATAAGGAACAATACTGTTTTCCTTAAAAAAGCTTCGGCAATTACCTATTATTTTTCTGTAATATGTAAAAGATAAAAATGGTAAATGTGGGTTATCCTACGGAGATAGACATATACCATCGCGGACTTTTTTGTAGATCTTTTTAAGATATACAGTTCCGTAATACATTAGTTGCAATGTAAGTGCACGAAAACATATTTTTTACGACATCACCTTACAAATCTTTGAAATTCTTGGATATTCTCTATTATAATATGCATGTATTATATGTATAAACCTTTCTCTTGAATCACTGTATCTAATGGGGAAAACCGTAAATCCGTTGCGTAGTTTGAAATATATAAGCGTACAGGACCTTCATTTTATACTCACAAAGATTTATACGATTCGAACGACGCCTCGTTTTAAATAATATAGTACTTTTAGGCTACTTTACGGGATATCAAATACTATATGGCTCAAATGACAGAAATTTGAATGTATTGACCGATCAGTCGCACCGTTAGATGCGCCTACGGATCTCAGAGACAAGCGAGTATCGTTTGGATGGGTGTCGTGCAGGTGGCGCTGACGAGCCGCGGCGCGGTGTGGGCGTGGGGCGGGTCGCCGCAGCAGGTGCGCGCGGCGGCGGCGCGGCGCTGCGCCGACTCGCCCCCCGCGCCCCCTGCAACCGCCGCACCCGCCCCCGCGCCCGACCTGCACCTCGTGCCCTGCCTCGTGGACATCTCCAATGTACGAGGACACGTCGTACAGGTCTCACCATATTTTTTTATATTAGTTTTATTTCAATATTAACGCCGTGTTTCGTCTTGTTGGATGTCTTCAACAAACTTTTCTGTTTCTCATTGTTTATAGAAAGATTTGCTTTTTTTCTATGTATGTTTACCTATATAGAGATATGGTTTGGGTAACGAAACGATCGAGTAGACTCAGTTTTTAATTTTTTATACAATATTATTGTTTCTTGTCTATATCGATAGGTTAGGATGAATGAAAATTATGTAGTTGTGGAACCCAACGAACGAAGAAATCGCAGTAGATTATTGTTACAATCTTCCAATAGATAATTGTGACAAATCAGCGATCTTTATCCATCTCTTACTTCTTAATTTTGACATACACGTAATTAAGTTCTTTGGCGAATTATTAAAAAACGAAATTCGTGATTTTTACATTGTTTTTTTCGAGTCTTTTAATAAACTTTATACTTGGTAACACTACATAGGTCTTATCACAAAAAAAGAAACAAACGTGTTTTGCTGGACAGAGGTGCTTCCTCATTAGGGCAGGTCTTGTTTATAATCATCTCACATACATTCTTCTACAGAAGACCTACCTTTTGATTTAAGCTTTACTTATAAATGATATTGATAATCGTAAACAGTGTTTCTTTCCAATAATTTTGCAGATTTCGGCCGGTTGGCATCACTCCTGCATTCTTGACAATGCTGGGACTATGTACACGTGGGGTCTCAACTTCGATGGCCAACTTGGTTAGTCATAATTTGCTATAATCATAAAGTGCGCAATTGTTAACTTCGATGTTATAAATATTCAGGTGTTACATTGATGAAGTAGCCTTATTAATGTAACAAGAATTAAATAGTCACAAAACAGGTTTTAAAATAAGTTGGATAGTACGTCTTTCTCTTTAACCTTTAATCGATAATATTTTTTGGTTTCTTAGCAATTATTGTTAACGACTGGTGTCCGATTGTCTGCGAGTTTGGTCGCGTGAAGCTAATTTTCTATCTTTCCCATCGGTTCAAATCTCAGAAGTTCCATGATGTGGATCTACTGAGAGTTTCTATTCAAAAGACCCGTGATGGATCAAATGATAGATGTACCTCTCATTAGATAAGTAGATCCACTGAGAATTTTCCTTCTCATTGGATCGATAAAAATGAATTAACAATGTTTTGTGTACAATTTAGCTTACGTCATGAGTCTTTGTTATTACTAGTGGTCGAAATTCTGGGCTGTTCCACTAGTCCTTACCAGCAGTCCCTCCTGGTGGGGATAAGTGGATTTTTCACAGTCATCACTAGTTGTAATGAGTGGAATTTCCAGATATTCGTTTGTTTATGTAACATTCGTTTTTTTACATAAGAAATTCTCGATAGATATATTATATTGATGTTTTTATATAGATAGACCTTATGAAAAAAAAGCGTCATTAGATCCATCATGGATCTGGCCAATGGATCTTCTGAGATTTAACCTTCTCATCTTATTTTCTGGATAATTTTTTCTGAGTTCCTTTTCTGTATCAATGGCTATGCATGTGCATCTAAATGTTCTTGATTTTATACATAAAAAAATTAAATTACAGGAAGTGGTGATAGAAAACAGATTCAAATTCCAACAGAAGTTAAAATTCGTACAGATACACAACCGGACACGGTGAAGAATAGTGGTAATAAAACCCCAGATGTAGAATATAAGAGTTTGAAAACAAATGCATTGATGGCCTGTGGAGGTGACTTCACTGTTTATATCGATGACGATGGCAGAATTTATGCAACGGGAAACACTCATATACAGGTATTCAAACTCTGTTATTAATGTTCTTTTTGTGTGTCATAAGATGTGTCTGTCTTTAGCGATAGACATTTCGTACCAGAAATCACAGCTTATTTATGCTTGGTTTGTAACAATATGAATATACTTTTGTTCCAACATTGTTATAAGTCGCTTGAAACGTAAAGGTTGTTCCTGTGTATTATAATTATATATAACAACAGTATAGATTACTTATTTAGTTAAATATGTTTTTAGCTCAATAATGAAAAGGAAAAAAGTAACAATCGTGTTATTATGATGAAGACTACGAAACGTGTCATAAAGATACCGACGAGAGGCAACAACAAGTTTCTATTTCAACCTATCGACAGAATTGATATCATGTTCCCGTTCGATGTAGACGATACGCGAAGAAACCCAATTGAAACCAAATTTAACCCCCTGACGCGTATGAATGATTTTAAAAAGGAATCCTGGGCGGATGGTATCATTATGGTACTTAAACAGTGGGTCAATGAAGAAAACTTTAAAGGAAATCTAAATATGGCAGCTAAGTTTGCATATCATAACAAAGTTTATGCCCAATGTTTAAGGTTTTTATTAGAAAATTTGAAAACCGAACCACAATGCGATCACATTTTTGTAACTCACACTCCAATGGAAAATGATGAAAGTAGAAATGGTGTCACTAATGAAAAAGGTATCGAGAACAAAGAGGCACTCAAAAGAGTAATTAATGATGTCATGACTAAACGTATTAAGCAGGTGTCTATGTCAATACTTAATGAAGAACCATATCCTTTAATCGACCCACTTGCTTATAAAGCGCTGCCTTGCTGCTGCACAGAACTAAATTACTGCAAAATGGGTACATACCCAAAAACCACTGTCAATATATCTGATTGCGATATATCTAAGAAAGCAGCTCAGGTTATAGATAGATGTATAAGTATGTTTCCTGTTGATACAGAATTGTGGGAGGAGTGCTTTCGTCTGTCCAAAGATTTCTATCTTGATCACGATTTGTCTATATCAGACTTAGAGGTGGTCTTACGTAAGTATATGGAACAAAACGCTACAACTATGGCTTCAGCCATTATGTATTCGAATGATTGTGCTCAATATAGTAAGATACTGTCCCCGAAATTTTACCTAAACATGTGCAGTCAAGTGCTGGATACTTGGGGTTGACTTACAACATTTTACTGTCGATGATGTACTTTTATTTTTAATTTTAGACGATCTATAAAAATGATAATTAACGTAGTACACGTACAGTAGTTTTTGAAGTCAAATATGGTAGACATTGATATCAGTGTTTACATTAATAGCTGTCGCAACTATTATTCTATTGTATATATATATTATACAACCTATTTCTAACATACTGTCTGTCGCAACTATTATTCTATTGTATATATATATTATACAACCTATTTCTAACATACTGTCTTGTTTTCCCTAATTGAGACTGCTAGATTTAATATAGTAACTTCAACATTTACTCATATAACTTATATATATATATATCAGCTTTGTATCGGTTCCTAGTTTCTTCTCGATCTGTAAACTTCAGTGTCTAGTACAATGAACTAATAGTTTAAAACCCACATTTTTTTTGGGGACCAGAATCGAATTCGAGCAAGCAGTCTGTCATAGGTCTAGGTCGGAGACATATTTTAAGATCCATAGCATACAGAATTTTACTATATCACATCACATCACCAGCCTTAAATAGTCCACTGCTGAACATAGGCCTCTCGTTAGAAAGGAGGTTTTGGCCTACTATACCACGCTGTATACTATATACAATGCCTCAAATCACGCTGATCAACAATTTAACATATATTTTTGAAAATTTTATGTTGTACTCTTGAATCGTAAATACATCTTACCGTGAATACATTCTTATCACTGGGACAATGCATAATGATTTAGTTGGACACATACAGAACACACAGTTCAATGACAGGGTCATTCTCTGGCTTTAGCCTGTGGTATGTGGGTACGTGTTAGCGGACAGTACTTCTCGGTGCGGCAACATGGCGAGGGTTGGATAGCATTCAAATTTTATTGAATCTTTGCGATGGTCATATAATTGATATTTTCTTTTATAGCTGAATAATTAGTGTACCTTGTTATTTCATGTTATTGCAAAAATATTTGTTATCTTTTTTATACGAATATATTTGGTGCATTTAAAAAAGGTAACTGTTGAATAGATTTCCACGTACCTAGGGTTAGCAACAACAATTTTATTGCAGTGGTGTATTCTTAGTTTTTAATATTTCTTTTAATTCTGACGCTAATTGTTCCTTCCTTATAAAAAGCCTGGCAGATAATAATTATGTATTTTATAATGGTTATTTTCTTTTGCAGTTTTTACCTATTACAACATAATGGTAGTTTTTGTGTTAATCAATACTCATTTTCATTTATGTACTCTAGTATAACTGTGTCATCACTGTTATACATATAGGAAATAATTATTTCGAATAGATTGCAACCAAGCAACAAGCAGCTATTTAGTGTTGACATTATGTAATGTTGTTTGCATCTAGTCATTATTATAGTGAATTATATTATTCTGTAAAATGCATTGTTAGAATGAAAAATTCATAATAAAATGAACTATTATTGATATTGAGTTTTTTTCTAATTTTATTCTTATTGCTTAATTAGGAAATACAATATAAGGATATTATTTATGGATTTGGATGCTTAAAATAGATCTATAGAGTGTAAATGCAGGCTCGTGCAAATAACGATTTAGCCACAGGATTAGATAACTCAGTAGTCCATTTAATATATATGAGGAATGACTAGTAAATAAAAAGACCTTATGAAAGAAATATTTGACTTCGTGTCCATACATAGGTATGTTTGTAGACATTTTTAGAAATGTTATATATTTATTAAATCTATTTACAAAAATTCAAATAAATAACAGTGACTTAGGTCAAGGAGTCCAATAAAAATAAATAAAACGGAATGAAGTTGTTATTAAAAACAAAATATTTACGAAATAAGATAGACATACAAATATCACTTACGCAGTAAATTACTCAATAAATGTGTCGACAATAATAACATTGACCTGCTAAAAACGATATTCTTTCTATACTCAAATATCCACTTTTACTGTGTTTTATTGACCGGGCGAATGGCACCCAACAGACAAAGCGACATACATAAAAACGTTCAAAATAATCAAAATAGATTCATACAAGATTCCTTAGGACTGTACGGGTTGTTCCATTTTCGCGATCGGTACACGATTTCTTGAGCTTATCTAGCACATGAATTAACAATATTTTAATAACTTTTTGATACGATCTAAACTTTCATGAAAATGCACGAAAATATATTGTTTTTAAACATGTCAACACAACAAATTTGAAATGCCATTAGTAATAGTTTTGATGAGCTTGCGACAGGGCCGGTCAAATAAGACTAACACTAAAGTAGGTGAACAGATAAGCTTTGACTGAATGTTATGGGATACGTTAGATGCTAACCGTTAGACCTTTAAGGTTTTGTAATATTTTAGTCTGGTACTAAACCATTTAAAATGTTCTGTAAACACGTACATGTATTTGCAACTAAAGTAACATTATGTATAGGCGTGCGGTACGAATTTTTTACAACTGCGAAAATGTGCAGCGGCGTAATGTTGCATCGCAGTTTTTTTACAAAGAGTTTTATACTCTTTTGTAAGCAATTATAAGTTTGTAACAAGTTACAACTGATTTGCGGCGCGTCGGTTGATCGTCTTTGCATAAAATAGTATTAGAACAGCTTTTACTGCACGTAATACACGGCATTTTGCTGTTACGTTATATATTTTATTGCATCTCTGAATCGAGTATTTTTATATGTAATAGAAGGCTCGAAAACTTGTTTAAAAAACCATAAAAACAGTTGGTCATTCTATAATATTAGAAGAACATTCTGTTATCTAAATGATTTCTTAACAAGGAGATGTATTTAAAAGAGTGGAAATACAAGCCACTTCTACTAACTCCATTTTAATACTGATCACTTTGATGCGACATTATGCCGTAGTACGTAAGCTTGCCATTTTGCTTTTTTTTTTGTCGCATGTTAAAATGAAACAGTTTTATTCACCACGCACCAAAAAATTCATAATCATCGCCTACCCTTGGGCTAACATTTAAATCATAATTTATAAACACCGCATTATTTTCAGAATTGGCATCCCAAAGCTACATTTTGACCCTGGTAAATCTGTGAGTTTTCATAAATGAATGATTCATCTAGTAAATTTAGAAGTTTATCGATTTGCCGCAGTAGGCGGCCATATTTGCTTCACGTATTGCCTCGGCGCAGGTCTGTAAGAGAAAGTTAATAGTTTGATCAAAACAGAACATAAACCTTTAACTACTCAACAGTATTTTTGAACATAATCTTAAAAAAAATCCTTGTGAATTTAGGCGCTCTTGACATAAGTACTTTTGTTTTGCCCATAAAAGCTAGTAAAATATTATTTGTGCAGATAAAAAGTTTTGTCTAATTAGTTAAACCTAAGAACTTCAGGCAAAATTCTTATAAATACTAGCTTAAAAGCATTATTAGGTTAGGCTAGTTATTTTTATTTTATTTTACTGGGTAGGATACCCAGTAGAAAGTTATGTTGACTGATGTTATAAATTGGTTAAAGTGTTTGGCTTAGTGTCAGTTAAAACTAAGTTAAAAAAAGTTTGCAGTCAGTATCGCCAATAATTTTCAGTAAAAACTATTTTTGGCTGATAAAGAACTCTTCATGTTTTAAAAAAATAATTCAATTGCATTTACAACTGTCATTTTAGCCTTTAAATGCAAAATAGCGCTTGATTTGTAGGGACATGCATATTTAAATGAATAATCTGTTACAAAAAAAAAAATACGAGTATACGTACGGGATGTGCGTGGCACACTCTTGCAATATCTTCTGCCGCTGCCCCGTATTCTTGGGCCAGGACACATTCATTAATAAGCTCGCCACCACCCTGTAGAATAAATAACATGATTAACCCAATATAAAGCCAAAGATAAGAAGGATTTTATAAACACACAAGTAGACTTGCAACGAATAGTATATTCGGCAGTATACCGAATACCGAATATTCGGCGAGGCCCCCGACCGAATAGCCGAATATTAGGCAAAAGTATTCGGCTGGATTTAAGCGCCAAAAACTTGTACAGACGTGAATTAAATTATGTACCTATTTTATGTACCAATGACTACTTAATAAATGATTATAAAAGAAATGAGAACCTTACCCTTCTGATTACCACAATAATTCAAATACATAGAATCCTCCATTTTTCCTATTCAGAAGATGATTATGTACCTGTCTTATGCACCAATGACTACTTAAATGATTATAACAGAAATGAAAATATGAATATATACGTAATCAATCGATTTTAATTTTTCATTTTACCAATTATTTCTCAATGACAAAATATATTATTTAAGTATTCGGTATGCGGCCGAATAATATGTAGATATTCGGTATTCGGCCGAATATAATAAAAGCAGCCGAATAGGCCGAATACCGAATAGTAACCGAATATTCGTTGCAAGTCTACACACAAGTAACCATATACATTCATATACATATCCATGAACTAGCATTGGGCTCATTCTACTAACCCGTTGTGAAGGATTTCACATACTCTCAGGTATATAATCGTTTTATGGACATTCCGATTTTGAAAGGGAGTGCATTCCTAGACAAACAGACGACGATCGAGCGAACAAAGAACAACTACTTTGTTACTACTTTTTCTACTTTGTTTTAACTTAGATAAAGATAAGAAAAAAACAAAAGTGGTGGGGAAAATAATGGTCTTGTCATCTGCAATTGCTAGAAAAACATCCTCCAGGATAGTAACAAATGTATAAAGTCCTCAGAAAGAACTGAAAAAAAAACATAAATAGTATATTTTGGGATGTAACATTTGATCAACGAACCAGCATAGTTGTGGTACGGTTATATTAACTATTCCGTTATTCAAGTAATTTGTCTTACAAAACTCAAAGCATTGTTGTTTACCAAAATGTAATGTACCAACAAAGTAATTTACAGATACTGTAAGGCGAAGAACACAATATTTTGAAGAGTGCGACAGCGTTTCACGTTTCACCTGGTTAGACTGTATTTCTGGCAGCCTCAAAAGGTTTCTTTGGAGAAGCCAGAACCAAAAAAACTCATCCAAGAAACTCACCGGTCCAATAATGTGCGTGCCCAGAATGACATCTGTAGCTTTGTCTGCCAATACTTTGACGAAACCGTCAGGTTCACCATTTGTCTTTGCTCTTGAGTTAGCCAAGAATGGGAATTTGCCCACTTTGTACGCCTTGCCCTGTAAATGAATGCTTAGTTACGTTTCTAATTCTTAGAAACAGCTAACACCGTATATAACCGGTGTTAGCTGTTTCACTTTTTCACAGTGGTTTATTGTCCTTATATAATAATATGACTCTCTTTATTTAAGTAATCAATTATGTTTAGTTTCTTTGAATTTATTTAAACACTTCCTCACTTAAGTTTTGTCTCATTGGGATTGTTATCGAGTCAGGTTGGATAAAGTTTCTCATCTCCACCACTTGACTACATCGTTATATATTATCATATCATTTTTACTAACCTCTTTCTTGAGATCCTCCTCCGACTTGCCTACCCAACCAACTTCAGGTGTGGTATAGATTACAGATGGAATTGCATCATAGTTGAAATGTACTGGCATGCCCTGTAACAATATTTGTTAGTATGAAATTTACAATTTGACGTATTATGGTAAGAGCCTGGATTTGGTGGCAAAATGCCTACCATTTTAGTGGTTTTCAGAGATTAATAACTTGACATAGTTTGAATTACCTTAATTCCTTCTACGCAGACAATACCTTCATCTTCAGCCTTGTGAGCCAACATCGGTCCATGGATACAATCACCAATGGCATAGATTCTGAAAGCAATATATAAATATATAATAACATTATAATATAGACAAATTCGCCTGTTGTTTGAGGTGCCTATTTGGGGTTTATCCATTTGTTTAAGTATTATATTAAGGTACATAGCCTACACAACTACTGCTGCATCAATAAATGTCGACAACATTGATGAATGTGCACGTTTATAACCCCGAAGGGTTAAGCAGAGGCGTGTTCGGCGCCTACATTTTGCCAACTATAAGTTAGTTAGTTAATTTAATACACTACTACAAAAAAAAAATGTATACTCGTATCTACACTAATATTACAGAATTTCTAGAACCGGTTCAAATATACCCATATTTGAACCGATTCTAGAAATTCTTTACTTATATGTAAGTTGCATTATCCTTGGGTGTAATAACCTATAAATTATATTCATATCGCCCATATCAACGGGAGGAGGCGCCGGCTAGTCATTAATAGAACAATACTTTAACATGTGATAATACAGTAACCGTAAAAAAACAATTACTTACCCAGGAACTTTGGTCGCAAATTTATTGTTAACCGGGACACGGCCACGGTCGTCGAGTTCAATACCAACGTTCTTTAGACCCAGGTCTTTGGTGTAAGGACGCCGACCAATCGAAATAAGGACAACATCACAGTCCAACTGAAATGTACAAAATAAAAATCAGGACACGATATTACGAATTATTTATTCTCCAATGCTCTTTTAGTACACTATTAGCGTGGCAAACAATCATACAGTCCAGCTTATGATAAGCACGGTTGTCAGTTCGTAACACGAGTGTTACGTAATTTATTTCGTAGGTCGGTGTGATCTTTGTGCGACCCATGCCTTCCCACCTTCCATTGATTTCTTATACATATTAAGGCATATTAGTCCGCACGAATTTATCTCGGGATGATTTTCTTATATTGTAATGACCGGTGATCAATCGTGACCATGATCAACTGAATTGTCCGTGTGGTGACGGATTAAGAGTACGGAGTGTCACCACACATATTCATTCCGTGGGTATCGTAAGAGCTGACTAAGAGAGCAAACTATGTAGGACAACAACACTGCAAAGATAAGGTAAACTTCAAACAACAACCCGTCTGGTCAGCGTGGTACGAGGACTGCCATTTATGTATCCGGAACTGGCCAGTTACAGAACAATATTTAAAAAAGTAATTATAACATTTAAAAATGGAACTCTTTGGCTGAAGAATACAATTTGTTTCATGTAGAAAAGAGCGTGTCTTTATCACTACGGATTGAACTCGTGAAAATTTTCGTGCTATGATTTATTACCATTTTTGACGAGGGCTAACTCAAAAACAGTGCATCGATCAACTCACTTCGACTTTTGGGGACGAAGCACCATCAAAAACAACTGTGTATCACTAGTTTAGTGAATTTAATCGAGGGCGGTCTGTGCTCCATTTAAAGAAGGTCGCCCTAAATCGGTTGTTGTACCTCAAAGTATTGATGCTGTGCGGGAACTAATAATCGTTATGTTACATATCGCGACATAGAGGCGTCTCTGAGAATAAGTATGACGAGTATATATAAAATATTACACGAACATTAATAGCAGCCCTCGTATAGTAGGCCAACACCTCTTTTCTAAGGAGAGGCATATGTCTAGTAGTGGACTATCGTAATGATGACTAATTAACAAAACGGAAACCTGGAGAGCATCAGACCGACAATAGTAATAATGCCTATTGACATTGACATCTAGATAGTTGTTGTTGTTTTATTTTTATACTATGTGTAAATGAACAAATTTCGACTTGTAACCCTTTGATGCTCTTCTATAAAGCATGGACCAAAGTTAGTTGGCTCTCTTATTTATCTCGTTCAGTAATCGTTTTTTTTTTAGTTGATAAATATGATGTATAATGTGACATGCAATAAGATATATGGATAACATACATTCGAGTCGAACTACCATTTTATCTAAGTAATAAATCAAAACTTATTGAACTGGCTCAATTTTTTTATGTTAAGGTAAGTATGTATTTACTACTTTTATCTAGTAGTCATTTTTACTGATTTTAGCTGTAAAAGCGCCATTTTAGGCACATGTCGGCTGTCGGATACGACGATCACAAAGAAAACCGGTAAATGATAAATCATATTTATTTCTGTAAGTAAATCTTTTCAGTCTAACCTTGCAGCTAGAAGGCGCTGGCATTTCCTAAGACTCACTCTGGGAAGAAACGCCGAAACAAGCCACAGAGGTATCTTTTTTTTAGTCCTTGGTCCGCATGTTAAAGAGATGTGAATTCAGTATAGTGTCTGGGTTGGGCTTCTGAAGAAAGGACTATAGTTTTGAGTCAACCTGTCCATACAGACGGAATACGAGCCCCAGTTATCGTATAGTCTAACCGATATTGTTAAGATCAACGACCCGAAGCGCGACACTACTGCCAGCAGGACATTTGAGTAGGCCGTGGAAACACTTAAGGCATTAAGCCCCTCGTTGCTTTACAGCGAACAAGGGAGGTTACCGACAACCAACCTCTCACCCCTAACTGGGGCCATCCCCAGTTAGGGGTGAGAGGTTGGTTGTCACCTTCCCCATGGAAGGTCACTCATAGTGTGGCCACGCATTTCTATCTGTTGAGTTTTAGGTCTCATCTAAACTTACCACGGGTTACTTGATAACCCGTCTGTCGTTCGGCCGCTTCACTATAAGAAAGCCGACTCAAGTTATAACTTGTTTGGGTGTAATATAGGGTATAACCCTATAACGCATTCTATGTCAGGCATTTGGACAAGTATTGATAGCCGATAGCCAAATGCCAGTATTTAGACCTAACAAATAAAGATAAGGGAAGAATGTTATAATCGCTCTATTCACTCTAACTTGTTTGTTTCCACTTTGTTTTATCATTGACCCTTTAATATTAAAAACAATACATAAAAAATGAGTTGCTTACGGTCTCCTTGGCGCCACCTTTGGCTGGCTCAATTTCAACTTTCACTCCTGATCCTTCTTTTTTAACCGATGTTACTTTGGTACCGAGTTTGAACTTCATTCCTTGCTTTACCATGATCTTTTGCAGAGTCTTTGAAACTTCGAGGTCAATGCCGACACCTATAAATGTTTTAATATATGTTAAACATAGATTTACATTAAATCGAGTGGCCTGTTGGCTTAGTGGTTAGCGAGCCTGACTGCTAAGCCAGAGATGGTGGGTTTGATTTCTAGCCAGGAAAAATGATCGCATTCATTATAAAGCACGATCATTTGTTATGTCTAGATGTAATTTATCTATAACATGTTCGTTATAGATAAATTACATCCATGTTGGTCGTATTTAGAAATATATATGCGACTGCACGGATGGCGTAGTGGTTTAAGCGGTCGCCACGCCGCTTCCTACTGGACGACACTTTGTGTGATCCACAAATTGTTGTTCTGAGTCTGGGTGTTCTTTGTGTCCGTTTCATGTATATTTGCAAGGTCCCCCGCGACGCAGGATATATTCCTAATGCGGGAGTTGTCTTTTAAAAATAAAATAAAAGATATGCGTTTAACAGTAGTTTGGTTACCGTAGTACAGGCTCTGCGATTGGGATCAGACACTCACGTGTTACAGGACAAGACCGGCTGTCGTGGCGAACTTTGGGAGAGGCCTATGCCCAGCAGTGGGCGTCTGTCATCCGAGATGATGATGATGATGACCCACGTGTGAGATGTGTAAGGTTATTATAATTATTTTATTAAACCTAATGTTTTTCTTCATATGTAAAATTTAAAACAATTTTCCAAAATATGTTTAGTATCGCACGATTAATACAATAAGAGAGACCTGATTTATCGGTTCGTGATTTAACGACTTAGATAACATAGCAGGATTGTTATTAATAAGAGATAGAGTTTTGTTTCTATTATAAACATGAACCATAATACATTGATAAGGTAAATATCAACAGATAAGTCTACTATCAACATCAATCTATCAAAATCTGTCTGTTATAAAATTGTATTCACTTTGACAACGCCATTCTTGATTTATCAATGTGTAATGTCTTTTATACATTTTAAAGACAGTGACGTCCAATTCAGAATAAATCGTAATAAGTACTTGACGCAATCTTCAATGCTGAACAAAGTAAAACTTTTAATAATAACTAATAAGAATATCCTCTGCTATGGTATCCAGACTGCTAATAACACACTTAAATATTTTTAAATACATAAATATTATAGATAAATTACACCAAGACACTAAACAAATGATCTTGCTAGTCACACAATTACTTGTCCGGGGTGGGAATCGAACCCAAGACCTCTGGCCTAATAATCAGTCACTAATCACTAGACCAACAGTTATTTAATTAATATATATAGTGGTAATTAATTATCTATCTTTGACACTTACCACCGATAGTGTCTAAAAACTCAACTGCTGTAACATCAGCGCCCAGTCTTTGGTAGACAGATCCAAGTTCTAAACCAATTACACCTGCACCAATAACCAACATCTTTTTGGGCACTTGCGGTAGTGAAAGAGCTCCGGTTGATGTGATGATTTGTTTTTCATCAAACTAAAAATGATTTTAATTTCATTAATTATGGAAAAATGAGAAAGATTGAAACCATAAAAGGAGTATTTAAACTGCAATTCACGCAAATAACTCAACTTGCAAACAACAAGATAGACCTGACCAAAAAGTAATAATTAAAAAAATAAAAAACCTGACCGCAAAAAGACAATTTAAAAGTTATGCTCTAAAAAGACCGTAACAGCACGAGGTCCGACACAAACATGGCCAAACCAATGGCAACCAATTTATATTGCCTTATTCAATTTAATTTTGATTTTGATACCCTATTTGATAGGTTTGTTTTTTTTTATTATAGTACGGCCGCTGAGTTATTACCGATTTGACAGATTATTCTTAAATTAATCGATATAACCTTGCACGAGCGACACATTTGCCGAATGATTTAGAATACCTGTTTAATATAAAACTTTATGTCAAAATGTCAGAATCAAGAAATTTCCCATAAGCTCTGTTTCAAAACTAAAAATAGTTTGTAAATAATATGAAAACATTTATTTTTTGTTCTTTGGCGCGCTTGTCCAAAGTTACATCGTGCGTCTAGTTTTCATAGTGATGTGCTTGATAGTATTCGGTCCGAATTCATTGGAATAGATATGATATTTATTTTATTTGGATATTTTTATTTTACTTATTCCTTCGAGCAACTAGACTAAATATAATGCTACCATTTTTTTGCGTCTCCTAATTGCACTGTGTTGCCAGTATCTTATGATTTTCAAGATTTATGTGTGATCCAAAGACAGAAATACTGTTTTCTATGATTTAAAAATAAATACAATTAAAATGATTATGTATAATTTTTAACATTTATAATATATAAAACAACATTTAATAAATATAATTTTCTCCCTCAATTAAGCAATGTTATAGGTGTATTTTTTTAAGTAATTGGCGATACTATTCCGGCAACACCCTTACCACCGCTATTTTAATCTGTTTAGTCGTCTTCCGTATTCTCGTTCGCACAGACTACGTTCTCTTGTGTAACCGTTGTTTATTGACTCGGCTTTCTCCTGTTTATCGTTGCGCTTTATTGGACTAATTTTGTTTGTGTTTGGTAATTTTGTTGAAAATGCCGAAACGAGGAAAAACATTGAATAGTCAATGTCGTGAGCTTGTACTAAAGCTACAGGATTACTTTGAGCGTGAGTCACAAAATGGCGGCCCTTTGATTCCTGTCACTCAATTGAAAGATCGGGTTTCACAAGCTCTTGGAATTGGTGCAAAAACACTATATAATATAAATAAAGAAAAATTTGGTGCTTCTGGAAGTGAAGATAATGTTTTACGCACTCCTAAGAAAAAACGAAGACAAAAGCCCGTGACAGGTGTTGATGTTTTTGATGCAGATGCAATAAGAAACCACATATATGGTTATTATACTAGGAACGAGTTTCCAACTAGACGTTTGCTTTTGGTCTCTTTAAAAGAAGCTGGCTTGTTTAAAGGCGGTAAAACGGCGTTGTCAAAACTATTGCACGAAATGGGGTTTGAATATAAAAAAACGAATAAAAGGAAAATATTAATGGAAAGATTTGATTTAATAATTAAAAGGAGTGAACTTTTTAAGAGAAGCCAGAAAAATCGAGTCTTGGGACAACGTCGTTTTTGTTGACGAAACATGGTTAAATGCGAACCACACTGTGTCACGCTCGGACTGACGAAACAAAAGCATCAACCTCAAAGGTTCCAATTGGAAAGGGATCGCGACTGATAATTTGTCACGCCGGTTCTGCTGGAAGTGGTTTCTTTGAAAATGGACTGCTGGCTTTGGCGTCAAAAAGTACTTCCGATTACCACGATGAGATGGATACAGACACTTTTACGAATTGGTTCGAAAATCAATTATTACCCAGCCTGCCAGAGCCTTCTATCATAATAATGGACAACGCTTCATATCACTCGAAACAAGTGAATAAAGCGCCTACTCAGGCCGACAAGAAAGCTGATCTCGTAGCATGGCTACACCAAAATGGAATTGAAACTACTGCCGAAATGCTAAAGTTTGACTTAGTAAAGTTGGTACGCGAAAATAAAACATCAAGAGTCCGTTATGAAGTAGATGAGATAGCTCTGGCACATGGACATCGGGTACTTCGAATTCCGCCTTATCACTGCCAGTACAATGCCATTGAGCTAATATGGGCACAAATCAAAGGTATTGTTTTTTATCGCATAAGTTATGAATATGAATAATTTGTACTATTATAACATCCAATATTCAGCATATAAGTAAAAAGATACATAACTAAGAAATAAATATCTCATGTCCCTTACATGTAGGTAATTGTGTAACATTTCGTTTGTTATTTAATGTTTACATTACAGGTTACGCAGCTCGTAATAATACGACTCCGCCATTCAGTACTAATAAAATGATGGGTCTATTAAAAGATGCTTGCAGCAAAATAACGAAAGAAGATTGGATCAAGGTCGTCGAAAAGACTCGAAAACTAATAAGAGAAGATTATGAACGCGATATAAGAGTGGACACCATTATAGACAATGAAATTATCATACAAGTGACTGATAGCGATGACAGCTCTGGCGAATCTGGTTCAAAGTCTGAATAATTGTTTTAATAAATGATAGGTAGTCATTTATTAAAACATCTTGTACCTACTCTATTCATTAAAATGTGTAACAGTGTTTACAAATTTGTTTTATTTTGATATGTCCTCGACCAATTATCTACGCCCATCAAGGATACTCCACCTAATAAAGAACCTGTGACTTTAACTATTATTTGTTTTGATTTTATTTAATTACACACTATACTAGAATATTTAAAAACAAACTGTTCCCAAATGATATTAGGGTTACTGATTCAGTCACTTCACTAGTATTGTCAATTCGTCATGTGTCAAATCGGTAATAACTCAGCGGCCGTACTATAACCTATTACTATTTTGCGTCAAAAAGCCATTGAATGAAACTTGGGCTTTCGAGACGGATAAAACAATACTTAAACTGAAATCCATAGAGCCATTTGGAAGATACGAGGTAATAAAGAAATTTAGAAACAAACATACAAGATACCGTGAATAACATAACCCTTTCTTTAAATAAATAAAGAAACGATTATCTACACATTTAATAGTTTTTTTTTGTAAATATAGAGATAATGGGTAGTCTATGTTCTAATATTCTAAAAATTCTAAACAAAATGCTTACTACTGTTGCTACAGTAATAAGCGTTTTATAGATAGCTAATCTATAAAACGCTTACTACTTACTTAATAGATATAGCTATAGATAGATAGGTATAGATTTTTTTAAGTACTTTTAAGTAAAAAATAATTGCAGAGCGGTTGCCTCTCTTTTTTTATTCTTACCGTAACTCCTGGGAATGGAGTGACCTCAGATCCAGTAGCAATTAAGATGTTCTTGGTATTGACAGTTTCTACACCTTTTTCACCTTTGACCTCAACCTTCTTAGGGTTAATTATTGTTCCCACACCACGACATACTTTGACCTGAAAATTTTGGCATTATGTAAATAAACCTTTTTCATTGAACTTATTTTAGTTGCATTGATTCTACTGTCTAATTGTGTGTTACTGCAATAAGATTCCTATTATTGTCGTGAACTCAATTTATATCAATTTTGGGAAAAAGTAATTGTCAAACAAATTCAATACAACCAATCAATGATAATACTTAACTAAAAGTACAATGGAACTAAACTTTGATAGAATTGATGCCAACTTTAGCAGACAAAAAACGGAACCAACGTTTGTTTAGCACATTGTGCTGTTTACGTTTCGCTGCCTTTTAATCGTTTAGTTCCATATGAGAATGAGATGCATATATTTACATACTAACTCAAAATAATTTCTTATAAACTGTTAAAATTCCAGTAATATTTACTCGGCCTATTGAAAGTAATCGAGAAGTTATGGTACATTTTTGCAGTCTGCGCGGCCGAGCTTCCTCAACCTTTGTTTAGGACAGATACCTACAATGTTATCGCAACTCGAAAAGCTAAACCTAAATAAAAAATGGATTTAAATCGTGACAGCTGTTTCTAGATACTCACCTTATTTTTGGTGAAAAGCATCGCTATGCCCCCAGTGAGGGCTTTTACAGCATTCCGTTTGTATTCCATTAATTTGTCGAAGTTAAAAGAAACATTACCAGTTTCAATACCTCTGTTTTTGAAGTCATGTTTAGCCATGTGGTACAAATGGGTATTGTGGAGCAATGCCTTAGAGGGAATACACCCGACATTTAAACATGTCCCACCAAGTGTAGGGTCCTTTTCAACGCATACAGTCTACAATCAAAAAATAGAAACTTGTTATAGTCGATGTTGAAACTATTCTTTCTGTTACTAGAAACCATTCAAGCTTTAGCAGAACCCCAAAACAGAAATAATAAGTTGATAGCATTAAAGACGACATACGCACGAAATCGAAAGGAACTTCGTCGAAGAGAAAACTAGCTGACCCGCGCAACTTCGTCTGCGTCTCTCAATAGTAATTAATTTTCTCCGTTTTTGAAACATTCTTCATTGGTGCTCCGCTCCTATTAGTCTTAGCGTGATGATATATAGCCTATAGCCTTCCTCGATAAATGGGCTATTTAACACTGAAAGAATTTTTCAAATCGGACCAGTAGTTCCTCAGATTAGCGCGTTCAAACAAACAAACAAACTCTTCAACTTTATAATATTAGTATAGATTATTACCTACTTTGTAGTTCGACTGCTTACAAGTGTGTTTTTTTAAACTATAATAATATAATTTATTTTTCCTTTTTTAGTCGTAGTTAATGATGATTTTTTTTTATTTTTAAAAAGACAACTCCCGCATTAGGAATATATCCTGTGTCGCGGGGGACTTTACAAACATACATAAAACGGACACAAATAACACCCAGACTCAGAACAACAATTTGTGGATCTCACAAAGTGTCGTCCCATGTGGGGTTTGAATACTGTCAGACAGCATGGCCGTCCTAAAAGCACTGGTGGGAAACACAATGAACTCTGTTATTGTCTTCGAATGCCATCAAGCACTGGAGCAATTAGCCACAATAAATAGGGTACTTTTCCAATGGATTAAAGGATATATATAAATGTATAATAAATAATATATAAACGCGCTAGTCGGAGCTCACAACCAATACAAATTCCGTCGGGCCGTCACCCATCATCGTCAGTTTGCCGACTGGTTTTAGGCGGTGTGTCTGAAATGAACCGACTAAAACAACACATATGTATATCCGCCAGAATATCAAAAGGCGGGAAAGGACTGTCGCCGCCTCCGACGAAATGGTGCGGTATCCCCGTACGATCTGAATGGTACTTTATTGAGCTTAGCTCGGCAGCGGGAGGAGGCCATGGATCGTATCACCCCACAGTAGAGGCGGCGAACTTCCTCCTGCGGACCCCCCCAGATTAGGGAACAGCCTCTGTAGGGAACCCCGCCACCCCGCGAAATGGGGGATCATCCGCTCGAATTTCACCCTAGTGAGCAGAGTCACCAGAGACCAATGTGGGATATATGGATCGCAAGAGTAAGTTGCACAACTAGTGTGAAATACTTCAAAAAGAAAAAAAAATTAGGGCTGGGACATGTGTCAAGCTTATGTTCCTCTCTCAGTAACCTAGAGGGTACTAACACTGACATGCCTTTTCTCGATTTTATATACCGGGATACCGTTATTACTCCTATTTTCCTCAATGGTGCTTGAAAATGAAAACGCTTAGGTTTACACATTAATTCGTATTCGCCTTCGGTTTATCAAATTCAACGAAGCTATTAGTATCATTAAATTCAATCCTCAGTTATTGCTGAACTGTTATTTGACACTGGCGATAATCAAGATCATTTAATCTGCCTCAATAAAATAATTAGTTTATTAGGTATGTTAGGCCTATATGTATATTCTTCTGACATGATATTCTGCGACATGTTTCGCTTCCACATTAGGTATCTTGATAACCGCCTTCATTCAAAGTCATGCGCCTATACAAACTCCTGTCAGCTAGCATTTCAAACACCTATCACAACATCCAAAACACAGTGAAAAACACATCTTCAATACTATTAAACGAAGACTTGTCTAACTACCACTAATCCTGCATTGTGAAACTAAGGTGGCGCCGATTAGTATTCACGTATTTGGTGTACATCCACAAAATACGAGTATACTAATTGGTGCTTCCCAACATCAACCATTAGGCTGAAGTCTGCCAGGCATTATCACCTCGCTTAGTCGGAGGACCTGTATGTACTTTGTGTTCGAGGAATGCAACACCCGTTCCTTCACACCCCATTCATCAATCATCATCCACTATAATTGACCTGCTTTTTCCCATTTTTATTTCGGATCGGCGCAATGTATGACTTAGCCAAAATTGTTGTAGCTGGATATAATTGTGGCCAGTCGCCTGCTTGGTACTAAAAGGGGGTTAAACTACAGTAGCTTTAAGAGGCTGGAGTTGTGTATCTGTACTGTACTGTGTATATTTTATCATTCGAGACTCTACAAGGACAGGAACATTAACTTGCATTCGTCTTTTACAGCAGCCAGGAATAATGAAGCAGTTATGGTATATCGATATTTCTGAACTATTTCACCTTGTCTGGCATACCCAACTGAGGTCGACCCTTGGTCAATGTTGTTACTGGATGTCTTAATAACAGCAGTTCCCAATCCCTCCATTTCAAGAGCACAGTGGCACACCGTGTAGTTTTAGTTGGTCCGATTCCAACTCAAGGGGGGACACTGTGACCCGAGTGGGTTTCCACACGTTTAAAAAAAAGGTCAATGTTATCAATGGCTCGTTTTATTTCCATTAGACTGTTCTGATATATTCTTCTTATAAAATAAATACATATTTTTTAACAGTGTTTCAGCTTGACTTTGACTAAAAACTTAATTTATAGGTGGGTAATTATACAACATAAAATTCTTTACCTTTAAGCCAAGTTGAGCAGCTTTAATGGCAGCCACATAGCCTCCAGGGCCTGAACCAATAACCACAAGATCAGCATCGTGAGTTGTTGAATATTGTCTAGTTGCTATCCTCAAACCTCCATACTATAACAAAACAAACTTTGAAACATCTATGATAGTTAAATCTTAAGATATACCCTAAGGCTGCCTTAATATTAATGCTAGGTATGAAGTGTATCTATTAGCAGATTAATTTTTCCTCTAGCTACTTCTTATACTTAATGTTTAGGGATTACATGCAGGTAGTATGTATAGCAATTATAATCTTTAAAAAATAATTACAGTATACATTTATAATTAGATTGCATTATATTTATAGTAAGTTAAAAACAACTGAGCCATCATGGGATGTCTAGCAGGTGTGAAACATCAAAATTATTTTGTACAAATAATGAGTATAAAAGGGTAGTATTTAAAAGGAAATAATAAATATAGCACAATTAAAAATAAAATAATATTATTTATGCATAGCTTGGCAGTCATAGTATATGGTCATGTTCTTTCAAATTATAAGCATAATAAACTGTCACCCTGTAATGATCTTACAAGTCCTATGACTACAAATAATAACTTTCCTCCGATCCTTTTTCTGCAATGTAACCATAAATAATCCTCCTGTAAGTTTCAAATCAAAACTAAAACATAATTGCTTCATTTTCAAATTAAATTTTATAACATTAAATTCAAAATTATTACATAACCTAACTTTAACATACAGTAGGTTAAAGCTGGGTGATATAATTATTTATTTTTATTATTTTTTTGTGTCTGGGTGCAATTTATCTATGATATGAATGTATTAAGAAATATATAAGTATGTTTATCAGCAGTCTGGTTACCAGCTGGTCTGCTGTGTGTGAGACATGTGAAGTTATTATTATTATTTTGAATGGGTACAATACAGGATAGAACAGGTGTCAGTTTATGAGACTATTTATGCTTATTATTTAAATAGTTGATCATTTACCAAGTTTTTTTTTTATGATATCTGTTAGGACCTTGGTCTATCTCTTGTTTCCAGTTTGATGTTGATTTTTGGAGCATTGCAGCTGTATATCACATACCATCATAAAGTAAATTCATAAAAAAGTTTCAGTTTTAGAACCTCCTGTAGGTTAAGACTTAAAATATGTGATAAATGCAGTTATGACAAATTCAAAAAATAAATAACACAGTTACATCATATAATATATATTCATTATATGTATTACTGTTGTTTTATACTTATATACACATTTTTATATTTATATATATATATATATATATATATATATGACAAGAAATCTGTAGAAATAGAAATGAACTACCACACATTTCAGGTAACAAGCTGATAATACTTGAGGGCATTACTGTGGAATTTAAATAATTATATTAACAACACTACAGACATATTTTGTCTATATCATTACAAGTTATTAAAATATAAATAACCGATCTTTACTTTTTATTGCTATCAGAGCACTGTATTGGTCACATGTTTGAAGGTCACAGCAGGTTATAGGTAACTCAATGATTTTAGGTGTCATTATTTTTTTAATTCAATATTTGGCAGGATTTATAATAGCTTAATATTTTAAAAAATATTCGTAAAATATTATTGACCGCAGCATCACATCATAGAAATCATTGCATAACTTTGACATTCCCCGGAATTTGAATAAGTACCTCTAGTAGATAAAATAAAAATTTAGCATTTTCTTACCCTGACGGAAGTCGAGGCTACCTTCAAAAATGTATATCCCATACTTTACAAACGTTATTTATCTATTATTTTATAGATTTTTTTAGTTGGAACAAAAATTCGGATCCCTTGTAATGGCCAATTTTTAATGTCAAATGGTAGGACAAATTCAACCAAACGTCAATAGGAAAAATTTCTGCTTTGGTATATTTTAAGCATACGAAAATGTTTTTTTGTCACTCTTTCAAAAATTCTTATAAGTGGAAGTGAGAAGAAAAATGTATTGGACAAATACTTTTTAGATTCATGCTCCTTCATGGGAATTTGTATGACATCAAAAAGAAAAGTGACTTTATGAATAAATGTCAATGTCACTTGAGCTTGGAACTTGGTTTTGGTAACAAATCGAAATTAATTAAATTAGAAACCTTTGAAAAGTAAATCAACAAAAGTTTTATAATTTAATAATTGGCTTTTCTTTAAATAATTAAATAATTGAATTGAAAAGAATCGTTTAATATAGTAGGGCCAAAACCTCCTTTATAAGGAGAGAGCTGTGTCCAACAGTGGACCATTAGAGGCTGTTGATGATGATGGTGATGAATAACGTTTAAATAGTTTGAAAATAAATCACTTATTTTTGTTGAGATTTTTTTTTATTATGGCAATGATATATTTTTAGAAGTAGCAATACATTGTTGCGCGCGCTGCGAGAATCTGAAGTTTTGTTTATCAATCAAATAAAGCAAAGGACGGTGTTTAGCAGTGTCACTGAGCGCACGAGCGTTTTTTCGTCAATCGATCCCTAAATATACGTTTACAATATTTTTTTCTTGATTTTAAGTATTTTGTGAAGATCTTGTTAGAACAGTTTTGTGAAGTGTAATGATTGAAATTTTATAAATAAGGTAAGTTTGTTTATTATAAATTTATAATATAAGTAGCCGTTCCCGCAGATCCATATGCGTTTTTGGCCACTGATTCACTCCAAAAGGTCTTGAAGGTGAAATTTTATAAAATATAGATAATATAATTACCTTGCTGGTTGCCTTATTAAATACAAAAATAATTATTAACATCTGAATGATAGTCCCAGGGCTTGGCGCGTTTAAAAATAAACAAAAATAAATAAATCAAAAAGCTCTATTGAATCATTCAATTTACATAAAAGTATATAATTAAACTTACCACTTGCTCAAAATTATTATCATTGTATAAACATAATTAACATTCCAAATTTATTAAAAAAGTAACCGATATAGTTTCTTTGGCTGTTCATTTTAGTAATTTTGTAGTGATTTATAATTCATGAAATTGACGAGCGAGTATTGCTATGGACATTTAGGCTGCACTTTTGCCCTTAGGTTACTAATGTAATAACTTTATTAAACTTAATGCAACCAATATTTCGATTTATGTACAACAGTCGCTTTCACATTAACTGCTCTACATAAATATCTCCAATACTTATAGATGAGATAAAAACTATAATTAATTTTAAAAAACGAATTAAATTCGCCTACATCATGATAATTGTAGGTAAAAAACTGTATTGCTTATTCCTTATTTTTATAGGTCCGATTTTTTCTTTAGATTTGAATGGGACCAAACAGAATTATGCCCTTCCAAATAAAAAAGTTTTCTAAACAGAGTTCTGATTTAATTAAACATTCAAAACATACAGCCGAGAACCTCCTCCTTTTTTTGAAATCACGTTTTTATTTACTTGTCCTTTAAAATCTGTACTTGCAGGTACTATTAAGACAGTTACTAGGTACTTGAGTGTTTTTAATAAAATGTAGAGTATCGAAAGTACCTATTAGGCTTAAACCTTCAAAGTTTAAAAATAATATTATATCGCAACTTAGCGCTTCAGTAAGACATAGGCATAGGTACCTGCACTTTTTGTAATTTTACAGGAGGGCCATTTAAATTTATTTGTCAATAAATTACTGTCGTATAATTGACACTACTGTAAGTTTTGTATCCGTCTAGTGATTAGGAGTACAGACTGTCACCCCACGGCCCCCCCTCCCCCCTATTCATCCCGTGGGTGCCGTAAGAGCCGACTAAGAGAGTAAACTATGCAGGACAACAACGCTGCGAAGAGAAGGAAAACTTGAAATAAACCCTACACTATCCCGTCTGGCCAGCATGGTATAGTAGGCCAAAACCTCCTTTCTAAGGAGAGGCCTATGTCCAGCAGTGGACTAGTACAGGCTGTTGATATGTGATGTGAATTATGGTTATATTATCATTGTCACTTGTACTGTTGCCCTATGTTATATGAACTTAAATGTGTGAACTTAAACTAAAATTGTTTCGCGATACATATTCAATATATCTCTCTATATTATATATATCTTTTGTTAAAAAACGAGATTTAAAAGATATATACCTGAGTTTTTGAATTTTTGTCATTTGTCCCTGCGTAATAAAGAAGATTCGAATAAAAATATGTCACGAGCTGCGGTCAGAACCACTAACATAAGTGTTCACAATTTACAGGTCCCATTCCAGCTTTTAAAAATATTTGAAATGTTTTTACGTCAGAATTTACAGAAATAAAATCTAATAGTTAAAGCAATGGCACGTCCGGCTATGAATGATTTTGCTTGAAAGGTAATACCCTAATTAGATAATAAAAACAATTGCCAGCCAAAACACACGGACCGTTTCCCAGTAGCGTTAGTTAGTACAAACGTTAGAAAAAAATTGCCATCGAACCCTCAAGGGCAGTTTCGAAGAAACAACCCTTCAAAGTCGCCGAAAAAAGAGTAGAAACTGTTTAAATCGGATGGCATATATATATATATATATATATATATAAGTGTATATATATTTCTTTAGATAGCCGTACAGAAAATTATAGATTAACATTCCAAAACAAAGAAGAAGCACGTTTTAATATAATAGTTTTGATAGCCCCACGTTTACTAGTACACTAACAATATATGTTTATACCTTATATTGTTAGCATTGTTACTCAGTAGGTACTAATACTAATAGTGTCAACGTAGGTCACACATTACTTTAGTTAGTAGCATTAGTATTCTTGTTAATCCCTCCAGCTTAACTAAACGCTTGCGATTTCAAGCGCTTTCCCTTGCGTTAATGTTAATTTAAGTCGAATTGTCAATCCAGACGACCGACATTCTAAAAGTTATATTTTATCCCTTATGACCAGTTCTTTTTCTCTGTTAATACAAAGGTACTCCATCGGCTTGGTAATAATGGCCTGACTAAACAGTATATAAAGTCAAACAGAAAAATACTCGTATATTTAAATCGACCGAGTAATCGAGTACATTAAAACAAACATCGCTAGGAAACGAGAACCTTTTTTTTGAAGTCGGTCAAAAAGAGACAGCTACCTGTATTTGTATGCGTTTTGTACGTTTGTCAAAATTTAAAGCTTGTTTATACAACCAAGGCTGCAAAAAGCTTATGCTTGTTTATGACGTAAAAGCTGACCCGTTCCCTGTTTTTGTAACATTTTTAATTGATAGTGAGCTCCTATCTATCGTGGCGTGATGGTATATAGGCTACCTCGATACAGGGGCTATCCAACACTAAAATTATTTTTCAATTCGAACCAATAGTTGCTAAGATTAGTGTGTTCAACTAAACAAACAACTATTCAGCTTTGTAATATTAGCATAGATGACGGTTATTTATAAATTATTAGACACTGGCACATTAACTCCTATCCTCCTTAAAATGGAGCTGTTCCGACTTCCGACCCTACTCAGCACAAATGAAAACACAATTTAACACTAGGCGAGGTGAAGCTGTTTAATCGCAATCGCATGCAGAATGTAGACAGTGGCTACCAGAAACTTGACAACTTCAGGACCACATCTCTATAACCTCTGCTCTCCTACTTTATAATAAATAAAGAATTTATATTACAAAATGTGTTATATCATTTTTTTATAATTCATAATAAGGAACGCCATCCAGTAAATTTAGGCCGATTTAGACACAAATTGATAGAGAATTGGATCTCCAGCTTATATGCCTTATATATATTATATATGTAAAACATTTAAACGGTGTAATATTCCATAGTTAATGCCATAATATTATATTTGGAAAAATCGTTGGATATCTTACACCTTAAAGACCTGTCCTTATTCAAAGACTCTTTACATAATTTATTCACAAATTAAGCAATAATTTAGAATATTTTCTGCAAAACTGAGATTGTATGTTCTTAGTTTTTGAAGGTAATTGACCGATTTAAATTTACATAATAAAGTTGCGCCACTTCATTAACCAATTTTATTTCCTGTTATTAGATAATCTTGTTTACATTATAGGACAGGAACGGTCGGCTTTACCCAAAATCAAACGAATACTTATAAGCCGGTTAGGTTATAAGATGTTGTGGTTTGTACGAGTAGAGTTTAGTTTACCTGTGTAGTAGGACAGGTAAGTTAATCCTGTTAGGTGGCCGTGACACGTTGCCCGGCTTCTGTACGAGGCATTTAGTCGTCGGCCCGCATCCGTCCTCACAATGTGCGAAGCCAGAGCACGTAAAACTGCACCTGCCATACAAGAGAAACTCACCATTTATGAAAACGGTATTCATATCATATCCATAGCCCATCGTAGGATCCTGATTAGGCTTGGTTCACGGTTTACGGTCGAAAGTCTCATAACCTTGTTCTATCATAAATTCGTTGCATTTACATTTGGACAAGGTAGTGTTTCACCACGGCTAGTTGTCATTTGGTCCACGTACTTTATATTGCGTCGTTTAAATAAAAACACTTGTCCAGCGCTTTCACGCTCCTTGATTATGATATTTGATCACAATGACATACTGCACCACTTCTCGAACACCTGATATCCTTTGTTGTCTTTGTCTTCTCATATGTTTAAAACTTCTTACAGGTAGTTCTTACAGGTAAATATTATTTTTAATTCTCAAATTCAACATTCTTCAATCATAAAAATAGCTTCACAGAGTGCGTGTGTGTGTTCTGTTCTTATCTTTATTATTATATCAATTCCACAAAAGAGCTTTGGATGTTTGGTGTGCTGATATGATGTGCGGG